AAGCCGCGATTGTTCCGGGTAATCTCCGAAACGGCTGGTCCGGACGACCGGACTTTTACTGAAGGGTAGCTGACATAGACGGCCACATTATATATTTTATTTTATCTTGAAAATACCTACGGTTCCCGCGAGATACACTGATTTTATTTTCATTTCACGCGGACGAAATCGCGAGCAAAAGCTAGTCATTAAATGTTATCTAAAATAATAATGACATTGATCAACAATACATTGACTTCCGCTGATAAAAGTTTGCGCGGGTAACTATTTCCTAACCTACAATTATTATGACGTTTCACAGCATAGCTTTGGACCGCGATTATAGGCGCGAAATTAAAAAAGATACATAATAACCTGTGTTCTTTCAGATTATGCTCTACACTATCTAAAAATATTTATTTTCGAATTAAAGAAAAAAATGTGATGCATTGTGTATTTATATGTTAAAACTAGCTGTTTCCATGAGGCAAATTATAAAAACTTTCTTTTATTGTTTACATTTGTTAAATTCTTAATTGCAAATGTCAAAATTACCGTAACCATTACCTTGCTTCCTTAATGTTGTTGTCTTGTAGTTTATGGTCCCTTTCCCACATGAAGGTTTTTTTCCAATTTGTTTACCCCCTAAGTTTAATAGCGTAAAAATATATAGCCTAAAGCGTGTTGTAAGTGTAGGGCTTTTTATTAAAGAAAGAATTATTCAAAAATATACTGTGATTGCTGACATCCTACGCCACAAAGTTGTGTGTTTACGCTTTATTATATTAGTATAGAGTACATATGATTAAATCTTAACTTCATTTGGGAGGCTTTAACATATTCGCTTTATAATGAATGCTCCAATAATGTGGATTTTCAAGTTTTAAAAACTTGTTTACCGCAAAATATTATCCGAGAATAAAACTGGATAGGAACAAAGAATAAAAAAAAATTTTTGATGTTCATACACAGACAAGAAGAGATATGACCAGTCTATTTTCCAACCGAAAAAATCGACAAGGTAATTAATTAAATAGATATCAAAATTGTCAAAAAAGGACACATTTCAATATAATATATAGTTTTTTTTTCATATACACTGGCTTTAATGCATGACTTCTTACGCGTCAAATTAAAAAAGTAGCCTATGATTTCTTTCAAACTGTTTTATAACTACGCCAAATTTCATTGTTGATGCAACCATTCAACTAATTTTGATTTTGTAATTATTGATTAGTAAAATGAAATGTTTTGTAGGTTAATTAGGATGTTATTTTATGTTCAAAGATTTTTATAGTCTATTTTGACAGTCACATTCTTATTTAAATTAAAACCTCAATAATTTCAAATAACAATTCGGTATAAAAGAAGAGTCAGCTTGTTCAAACTCTAAACTATCATTAGCAGATAACAAAAAACAACTCAAAAACAGTTAAATACATCCCAACACTAGTACAAACAGAAAAAACTTACATATCTTCCATGTATTAAATACACTCAAATCAAAACTATGAATTAAAATGTTAATCCACAATTAACTAGAATTAAACACTTGATTAACAAATATAATTATAGTTAATCTGTCAATTATCAACAATTAAAAAAACAATTAAAAACATAAAAGCCGTACGCGATCACTGCTGACTGCCACTGACTACAAATTGAAAAAAATAAAATCAAGATGGCGGACCGAGCGTGCTCTTTCGACGCGTCTGTAAATGATACTGAGATAGAAAACAAGTTTAATGCAAAACTATTATGGATGGCACATCACATGTAAGTTTTAATGAAATTGTTTAATAGATTATGTATGTACGTAAGAAAGGGGTAATTCAATGACGCAGTATGCATGGATGTATATTCCGATATGACGGAAGTTCTTACTTATTGGACAACATTATTAATGTTTAAAATGTAAAAAAGATAAGTGTCAGTCCCACCAAATTGTAAACTGTCTAATAATCCAACGTGTAAAATATGTAATGGAAATTCCAGATTTTGTTCCGTTATCTGACAGTTGTGGGACAGGCCCTAAATCTGTCTATAGAATAAAAAATAAATAAAAAATCTTTAGAAAGGAAAAAGTATTCAATCTGAAATAATTCGTTTCGTTAGCGCCGTTTAAAATCTGATAGGCGTTAAAAGTAAATAAAACCTGTTAAGCTTTATTATTTACTAGCTTTTGCTCGCGACTTGGTCTGTGTGAAATTAAAAAACAATAAAATGCAGCCGATGTTACTGTAAACGTAGCTTTTTAATGTTGAAATTTTTGCAACCGGTGTAGTGTGTTTTTTCAATACATACAAAATAACAATTCTTTCCTCTTTATATCAGTATAGAAGACGCTATAACATATTTTAATGTACGCAGTAGGCGGTTAGTCATCTTTATACCATCCTTTTCACTAAGGAATATACGCAAATAAGGAAAGAACCGAATTAAGAAAAAATCTAACAATAACATTTAATAAGAATTTATGAATCATTTTGTACGTACCGTAATTAAAAAACTGCGGCGCCAACCCTATCGTAAGTGGCATGCAACCTGCGCACTTACCATAGATGTCGCTTGGTTTTTGTCATAAGCGGAAGCGGAAAGTATAAAACAAAAATGTTTTAATTTTAAACAGTTAGGTAATCATACACACCGCTCACTAAAAACAATATTTGTTGCTTGAGATCGAAATTATTTAATAATTTGCTTGTATATCAGGGAAAGAAGCAAACGAGTAGCGGGTGCTCTTTGACGCCCATGGATATCCGCAACACCAGCGACTACAGATACTTGCTGGTCTTTAAGGAAGAGTTATCCCCGCTTCTTAAAGAACCCTACACGGTTCGGATTATTTATATCTATACTAATATTTTAATGATGAAAAAGTTGTATTTTTGGATTTTTGTATGTATTGAAATAATTCAAAAACTACTAGGCCGGTTTCAAAAATTCTTTCACCGTTAAAAAGTTACGTGATAATGAATCTCGTTTTTGCTTGGAGCCGTTTAACAATTTATAACGCGTGAAATTTTTGTAACAAAACGCTTGCTCTTTATACTTAAACCAAACACAACTAGCGGTAGAAGTATTTCCCCGTTTCGCTCAACAGTTCCGAGGAAAGATGTCTTCTTTAAAACTATCACGAAGTGTTGTAATTAAATTGTGATCCAATTAAGAAAGAGAGTTTTTGGGTGAATATTAAAGGTCATTACAAGGTCGTGTATACGTTACAAGACAGTGATAGAAGATAGCAATGTAAAGGAAAGGATAAAGGCAGATATACTTTGAAATTTGTCACATGTAGAAAATAGTCTGGAAGAACAAGATCACTGTTTAGTTTAATTCCGCGCAGACGAAGTCGCTGGTAAAACGCTAGTCATTCTAATATTATAAATGCGAAAGTTTTGGATGTTTGTTAGAGTTTGTAGCCTAAACATCTGAATGGATTTCGATAAAATTTGGTATAGATGTAGAGGATAGTCTGAAAGAACACATGAGGTACTTGCTTTGGTTTTTTCTAATTCTTCACGGACGGAGTCGCGGACGAAAGTAAGTATTTAACATTTGTTTGCGGAACTAAATAAGATTTACATTATTATTTGGTAAAGAATGCTGTTAAAAGAGATGTTATTATTATTTTTTTCACTATTGTGTAAATAAACAATCAAAATTTCATACAATAATCCTATTTTCCTCGTCATTTGACCGGAATGGCGGCCATTTTGTTTTTATTGTCAATTGTTTTATACGTAGTCATAACATAATTATTTGATAACTAGTAGTTGCCCGCGACTTCGTCTCCATGGAAATAAAAATAATATATTCAGCAAAAGTCCATTGAAAATCGCGGTTTACGCGTTTTGTAACCCAAAACAAATGCAGACTTTGGACAGACAGACAAAAATTTATAAACAACTAGCTGTTCCAGTGCGGCTTCATCCGCATGAAATGTCAAAATTCAAATGCACAAATGACAATTGCTTCCTTGATGTTGGCAGCAACTTATGGTCTCTTTCCTACATTAAGATTTTTATCCAAAATATTAACCCCCTAAGTTTAATGGCGTGAAAGCATATAACCTAAAGCGTGACGTGAGTGTAGGGCTTTTTATTAAAAAATAACTATTTAAAAATATGGTGTAATTGCTGACATCTTAGGCAACAAAGAAGTGTGTGTTTACGCTTTATTATAATAGTATAGATTCGTTTTAAGCAACACAAATACGTCATGTTAATGAAATATGAATTTATAATATAACAGACATTCCAATTTTATTAAACGTAGATAAAGAACAAAGAATAGCAAATGACGCCTTTTTATTTGCGGAAGTATGGCGGAATTAATTTGTACCTATACAAAAATAAATTTAGAGTGTCTGTTTGTAATATCAAAAGAACAATTCCAGACTTCGGGAAAATGATGTATTTGCGTTGCTGATAACAAAAATTGCTTTTAGTTTTTTTTATCTGTCTGTCTGTCCGCAAGCCGTGTTTGTTCCGGGTAATCTCCGAAACAGCTGGGCCGATTTCGAGCTGAAGAAGGGTAGCTGACATAGACGGGCATATTATAGGCTACTTTGTATGTTACTATTGCGTGGACGTCACGGGAAACAGTTGTTTTACAAAAGTGACTAATAGAATTTCAGCCAGGATTCTCGCCATATCTTTTGTATAAATGCCCTTAAACTATATACGAAAAAGAAAAACTGTGTTGTATATACTATCGTTAGAGAATCTGATGTTTTTAGGGATAAATCCAATCCCATATGTTGCAGACTTTGTTTTATATCTGTATCTTTTAATAAGATATGTTGAACTATTGCAGAATTAAGTAAACATTAAAAAACAAAAATAATCTATCCCAAGGGAACCGTAACTGTTTCCAGAATCAAAGAATTCTATGTATTCTTCGAGACTATGCTCTACATCTATGCCAATTCATCGAGATCTGTTCATCACTTTAGGCTACAAACTACATCAATTTAAACTTCTGCCTCAATTAGTAAGATAATTTAAATGAATATGTTTTGGTGTCAACTAGTACCAGTTTTATAATTAATTACGCGGTTACTATTGTATGTTTATTCTGCAACTTTTTATCGTAACGTAATTTTTAAAAGCAAGAAATTTAGTTAATGAACATTGCTATTAATTATTAACAGGCGTATAATTTCGTGAATAATTGAATTGAGGATAGGAAAATTCACTGTTTGTCATAACAGTCGGAGCATATTACTTAATTCTATATTATTAGTTGGCCTATCCCACCCACCTGCTACCGTTAACCCTATAAGCAAAGAAAGCAAAAATGACCCTAAATTTCGTCGCGCGATTTTGAGCTAAACTATATAACTACGTCGTAGTCTTTGACTCCAAAAATCAAACAAAATGGGACCCACCTGCAAGATTACCTTTCGGATAAAAAAAAGAATTATCAAAATCGGTCCACTAGCGGCGGAGTTATGTCGTAACACACATAAAAAAACATACAGACGAATTGAGTACCTCCTTCTTTTGGGAAGTCGGTCAAAAAGACATACAGACGAATTGAGTACCTCCTTTTGGGAAGTCGGTCAAAAAATAGAAAAGAGAGACACTGCTACTACGATCTAGTGACAAAACATTTATTGTTATTCAAATTAGCAGTAGATACTAGTTTTTTAGAATTAGAGCAACCTACTTACATACATTTTCATGACGTTTATACCAATTTGGGACGATTATTATTATAGTCGAAGTACTAGAGAAATCAGCGGTGTTTCTTACAAGGAGACTTACTCTTACTAATAACAATTTAGGTAGTAGTGTGTTAGTACAAAAGCTGGAAACCACTGAACTTTATCGTTTATCGACGTTATAATTTACTATATATACTAATATTATAAAGAGGAAAGATTTGTATTTTTGTATGTTTTGAAATAACTCAAAAACTCATCAACTTGCCCTTATCCCTTATTGCAAGTCGGCACAGTATGTGCTGCTCTTCCATACATCTCTATCAGCAGTCATATCTGAATCCACTCCTTTCTTAAGCATATCCTCTTTCACACAATCTAATACTTTCTTCTTCCTCTTCCTTTGTAGCTCCATGTTATTATTGAGTAACATAGGTCATGTTTTATTTTTTTTAACTAGCTGTTCCCACGCGACTTCATCCTCATGAAATTATAAAAATTTCATTTTAGTGTTCACATTTGTCGAATTATCAATTGCAAATGTCAAAAAGACATGACATGAAGACATAGCATGGTAACCTTGCTTCCTTGATGTTGGCAGCAACTTTTGGTCTCCTTCCCCCATTAGGGTTTTTATCCAAAATATTTACCCCCTAAATTAATAGCGTGAAAATATATAGCCTAAAGCGTAATTTAGTCTTTTTATAAAAAAAAGCATTATTCAAAAATATGGTGTAATTGCCGACATCTTAGGCAACAAAGAAGTGTGTGTTTACGCTTTATTATAATAGTATAGATTCCTCGCGGATGAAGTCACGAGAAACAGCTTGTCGATCAATATTTGCAACACATTTAGTATTAATTACATAGCTTAAATTAGCTGTTTTAGATGCACTTGCGTCAGTAGGCTTTAAATTTTTATTAATATAAGATAAATTATGTTTGTGGTACAAGTTTAAAATAAAGCAATTACAACGTAAACCTGTTAATCTCTGGAGTGTCATCTCTCTTCTCTCTCTTCTATTCCTATGTCCCCAAAGTTGGGCAGAGGGCGTCCACAGTACGCCGCCAGCTCGCTCTGTCTTGGGCTCTGCGTTGTATCTTGAACCATGACAGCCCGATTGCCTTCTAGTCGGCCGCCACTGAACTTCGCCAGGTTTGTTTAGGGCGGCCACGCTTTCGTGTTAATTTTGGGATCCACTCTAGGGCTTCCCTGGGAATGTGGAGTGTCATAGGGTATATTATATTGACACAAAATACATACATTTGACATGACAATTGGCATTGTAATGAAATATTAAAAAGAATTAGTTTGCATTGTACAGTAGACTGTATCTTGCTGGTAAATATACAGGCTTGCAGTTCAAAGATATATTAGACAACTAGCTGTTCACGTGCGAATTCATCAGCATAAAATTATTATATTGTTTACATGTGTCAAATTGTCAATTGCAAATGTCAAAATGACATGACATGACAAAACTTGGCAATCTTGCTTCCTTGATGTTCTCTTTACCCTCATTAGGGTTTTAACCAAAATATTTATCCCCAAAGTTTAATGGCGTGAAAATGTATAGCCTAAAGCGTGACGTAGGTGTAGGGCTTTTTATTAAAAAAGAATTATTCAAAAATAAGCTGTAATTGCTGACATCTTAGGCAACAAAGAAGTGTGTGTTTATTATAATAGTATTGATATAGTTACAAGTTCAATTTGGATAAAAACCCTAATATGGGAAAGAGACCATAAGTTGCTGCCAACATCAAGGAAGCAAAGTTGTCATCATGTCATGTTATTTTGACATTAGTAATTGATAATTTGACAAATGTAAACAATAAAATAAATTTATTATAATTTCCTGCGCATGAAGTCGCACAGGAACAACTAGTTTAAAATATTTAACAAAAATTTAAAATCGCTACCGCTTATAAATTAAATTTGTGACGGCCTTGACTTAATACTTGGCATTAGTTTTTATGTTTTAATTACATTCGTATTTAAACTATTGTTAACTTTTTTCACCATATAATTTTAATCCACTTTTTTTTAAAGAGTTCCGTACATTTTTTCTTAATTTAAACTTTTAAATAAGTCGGTTAGTAGTAAAAAAAGAAGAAACAGTGCTGTAGAAACATCGCCCAGGGTGACTGAAACGACAAATCGATTTGAAAGATGGATACCTGATGAGCATGTATGGAAAAGTCACTATCAACAAGGGGACAAGGCCCACAGAGGGACGTCAGCATCTGTTTCCATAAATTGCTGTCAGCTATTATATCTGAATTCACTTACTTAAGCATAACCTCTTTGAAAATCCATTTTTCTTCGGTCTTCTATTGTAGCCACATTCAATCTTCATACTATCTTGTTAGTCTTCATACTCATAGCGTCGGTGGCTCAGTGGTATGAACACTTGACTTGTAATCTACAGGTCTTGGGTTCGAATCCCGCCATGTACCAAAGTGATTTTCGATTTTTCGAATTTTCATATGTACATAATTTACCAGACGTTCTTACGGTGAAGTTAAACATCGTGATGCCTGCACATATCGGCGAAGAAATTCAAAGATATGTGTGAAGTCAACCAACTCGCAATTGGCCAGCGTGGTTGACTATGGTCTAGTCACCCCGTATTAGGGTAGGCTCCGAGCCCCTCGGTGGGGACGTATAGTGAGCTGGTGATGATGATGACTATCTTGTTTATATCCTTCCTCCTTATCCTACTCCCGTAGGGTGCAACAGGTTTTTGTCCTCCACATAACTTTCATCCGTCCTCTCAGTCACTCCCTTCTTGACGTACCTTTCACGTTATACATACTCTTTTTACGTCTACCTCTACCGGTGTACCACGCTCATACTCTTCGCGTAATCATCATCTCCCCTGCCTTATCCTACTCCCGTAGAGTCGGTGCACCGGGTTTTCGTCCTCCAAAGCATTCTATCATCCGTCATCTCCGTCATCACTCTCTTCTTGATCATGTTACCTTTCACGCAATCCATCCATCTCTTTCTAGGTCTACCTCTACCGATGTACCTCCACATTCATATCTAACATCCTTCTTACATGCGATTCATCCCTTCTCATAACATGCCCCCACTCTAACCTTTTACTCCTTATTTTCTCAACCACTGGGGCTAATCTCAAACTTCCTCTAATATACTCATTTCGTATCTTATCCAATCGTGTTACCACACATCCATCTTAACATTCGCTTTCCGCTACATGTATTCTCCTTTCATCCGTCCCTTTTACTGCCCAACATTCAGATGCATACATCATGACAGGTCTTACGACGGTTTTGTAAATTTCGCGTAATATAGAAAAAGATGGTTTCTCCACGGATCCCCAAAAATAACACTTCAAAGTAGTGATGAGAGAAAAAAAATAACGTATAACTTTAGAATTTCTTACCGCGTAAGTAATTCGAACGTAATGGAAACGTGCAAATATACAGAAATAAAGTGCAAATATGACATCAATTGGAAATATTTCTTTAAACAGGTAAATAAACTATTTTTTTCCTGAAAATTTATATCCATACCATTTCTATTTATTACGTTACTAAGTGAACATAACTGAAGTACTTTAGGAGCCTATTCTTGTAAGTAGCCTAAGTATTCTTCTTCCTCTACATGTATGACAATCATCGAGATCTGCAGTTTAGTACAAACTTCAAACATACATATTAACTTTCGCATTTATAATACTACGAGCTGTTGCCCGCGACTTCGTCCGTGTGGTATAAGAAAACATACGAACTATATAAATTACAAAAAGCTACGTATCTCGGGTACCGGACATTTCTCGGGGATGAAGCTTATCCCATGTGTACTCCAGACTTTGTTTTATATCTGTGCCAAATTACAATAAGATATGTTGAACCGTTGCAGAATGATCGAGTAAACATTAAAAAACTAAATTAATGAATCCCGCAAGAACCGTAACTATTCCCGGGATAAAAAGTAACCTATGTGTTCTTCCAGACTATGCTCTAAACCTGTGCCAAATTTCATGGAGATACGTTCAGCAGTTTAGGCTACAAACGCTAACAAACATCCATCTAAACTTTCGCATTTATAATATTAGGAAGATTTAGATAAACAAACCTTTCCTTTTCATAATAATAGTATAGATAACTAAGAGTAATTAGAGATAGATAAGGATTTAGACACGTGTGCGGTCTTCCACACACAAGCGTGACTTGACTAAACTATCGCACAACTGTGTAGTCTCGCTTTGATTTCCATTTCTAGTTGTGCAACTAAACAGTTGAAGCCGCGGAACAAACGACAATCGCACACGATAGTTTAGTCAAAGGTGACCGCCACAAATAAAGGTCCGTGGCCTCTTCTTTACGATTCTTCTCTGTGAGGGTAGTTGTGTAATTAATGAATTAATTACTTCCAGCTTTTCGTATGCTGTGGTGCGTGGTCCTTCTTCTTCATTATAGGTTTGAATCTTGGAGCTCCTACAGTCTACATTCCCCAGCTCAGAAAAGAGACAGCTGTCAGCGATGAAATGGCATCATGGTTATGTAAGGTTTCATCCACAAGACGTTATAAAAACTATATTTCATTGTTTACATTTGACATTGGATAACAATTACCGTGACTATGGCTTGATTCTTTGCGGCTTTGGCTTGTAGTTTTTGTCTCTTTCCAGCATGATGGTTACTTCCAAATTATTTACCTCCTAAGTTTAATAGCGTGGAAATATATAGCCTAAAGCGTGACGTAGGTGTAGGGGTTTTTATTAAAAAAGAATTATTCTTAAATATGCTGTAATTGCTGACATCTTAAGCAACAAAGAAGTATGTGTTTACGCTTTATTATATTAGTACTAGCTGTTCCCGTGCGGCTTCATCCGCATGAAATTAAGAAAATTTTATTTTATTGTTTACATTTGTCAAATTATCAATAGCAAATGTCAAAATGACATGACGAACCTTGACAATCTTGCTTCCTTGATGTTGGCAGCAATTTATGGTCTCTTTCCCCCATTAGGTTTTTTTAACCAAAATTTTTACCCCCTAAGTTTAATGGCTTAAAATATACAGCCTAAAGCGTGACATAAGTGTAGGGCTTTTTATTAAAAAAAAAGCAATATACAAAAATATGGTGTAATTGCTGACATTTTAGGCAACAAAGAAGTGTGTGTTTACGCTTTATTATATTAGTATAGATATAGATTACTCTTATTAACGTAATTATTAAGATTTCTTTCGTTTACAGGTTCCTCATCAGGATTCTCTGCGATACCCAGTTTGTTCATCATAACGTTCCTTTCCAAGCATTACGGAAGAAAGACAATATTTATAATTGGAAATTTTAATTTACTTATTTCTCTATTTATATTTTATTTCAGTACAACGCCTACACAAATATTAATAAGTCATATTACTAGTGGTTTTGGTTATGCGGCATGTTTTAGTAATAATATATTAATAGTCGCTGAATATATACATCCTAAATATCGCGGTGTGTTCTTAGCTGTGAAATCGACGTCCGTCGTGTCCGGAGTTTGGGCCGCGAATGCGATTGGAACGTTTTTAAATTGGAGGGTAATACCTATTTTTGGATTGGTTCTATCATTTTTTGCGTTTACCTCCTTTTTTTGGCCTGAATCACCATATTGGTTGGCGAATAAAGGTAAATTTGATGAATGTAAGAAATCCTATATTTGGTTGAATGGTTCTAATGATGAGGTTTTTAAAGAAATTGATTTTTTAATACAATTTGAAAAGCAAAGTTTGAATTTTAAATTTGATTTAAATATAATTGTTAAGGAGGAGTTTTATAAACCTATTTTGATATCTTTTTTACTTATGATACAATATCATTTTTCGGGTAAATTCATTTTTAGTATCTACGCTTTAGATATTATAAAGAAAATAACGGACAGTGAATCTACCGCGTACATAGGCATGTTAATCTTAGACGGAATAACAGTATTTGGTATGTATTTCGGATGTTTTTTGGCTAAAATACTTAAAAGACGTACGCTGTATTTATGGGCTTCTGTTATTGGAATATTCTTTCTATTCTCTATATCGTTATATTTGTTTTTATGTGAAAAATCATTGGTGCGCGAGAATAAGTTTGTTTCGATATTATTATTAGCTTCATTTTCTGTTTCAATTAGTTGCGGTCCAATGATATTAAGTACGTCTATTTATGGTGAAATATTACCTTCTCGGTTCAAATCTTTAGGCGTTATTTTAACCGCTTTGTTATTTTATCTGTTACTATCGACTATGTTGAAAATAGCGCCCGTTATTTTTAAATATATCGGATTGGATGGTGCGTTCCTTTTTTACGGAATTACGTCGGGTTTGTGTTGTTTATTATTAGTGAAATATTTACCGGAAACTAAAGATAAAACTTTACAAGAAATCGAAGAATTATTTAAACGGAAAGAAAGAGTAATTGAATTAGAAAAATTGCAAATATAAATATGCCGGCCGTATTTTTCCGAATATTCTAGCTTTTGTGACTCTGTCCATGTGGAAAAAAAAACAAAAAAGTGGTTATTGTACGACAACCTTAATAGATAGATATATGCTATTGCGGACTTTTATTTAGCAAATTTAAAGGGCTACAATTCTTCCATACATCATTTTTATGTAAGTCTTATAGTTTTGGCTACGTAAGCAAAGAAAGCATTGACCCTAAATTTCGTCTCGCGATTTTGAGCTAAACAAGTTAACTACGTCGTAGTCTTTGCCTCCAAAAATAAAAACAAAAAAACGGGACCCACCTGCAAGCATTACCTTTCGGATAAAAAAAGAATTATCAAAATCGGTCCACTAGCGGCGGAGTTATGCCGTAACACACATAAAAAAAATAAAACAAACATACAGACGAATTGAGTACCTCCTTCTTTTGCGTCGGTCAAAAAGTAAGAAGCCTATGTATTCTTCCAAACTATTCTCTACATCTATGACATTCATCGAGATCTGTTAACTATTTTAGGCGACACTAACAAACATCCACCTAAACTTTTATATTAGTAAGATATGAAAAAGATTATGTAATGCGTGGTATACTTTCCCAGTACAGTCAGTCAACTGACTGGCAATCAACTGGCACGATGTGATTAGCGCACCAGTGAATACAATCTACTACTATCACAACTGGCCAAGTGCAATCCCAAAAGCAATAGATAAGCAAGTAACTAGCACTACCATGCCAGATATTGTTCTAACTGGCTTGCAAATCTCTAGATATTTGATTTTGTGACAGCTATGTACGGCAGTTGAGGGAGAGTGGGTCTCCTTGAGATTTTACTGGCATATGTGAGTGCTTGCCAGTAACTGGCAGTGTTAGGTATTTAATGACATATGTATTTCCGCTACAACTATAGATGGCGTTGTAATAAAACCAGTGATGAATTATGAATTAGTTTTATTTTCAAACCTACTGTTAGATATTTCGACACAAATGATTTCTTTTAAAATATAGAATGCTTGTAAATTACTTAAAAACACACAATTAAAACTCAAAAAATGGGACAACGTAAAGACATCGACCGTTCCGTGGTGACGACTAGAAAAATACTGAGACAGCGACTGAGCGCCGGAGCCACTCCTTACCAAGTAAACTACCCCCCAATATTCCTTCCGGTACCTAATATTTTCCTAAAAATATTGTTGTCTATACTATCTATACTATATAGATAAAGCGTAAACACACACTTCTTTGTTGCCTAAGATGTCAGAAATTACAGCATATTTTTGAAAAATACTTTTTTAATAAAAAGCCCTACACCTACGTCACGCTTCAGGCTATATATTTACACGCCACTAAACTTGGGGTGTAAATATTTTGGATGAAAACCCTAATGTGGGAAAGAGACCATAAGTTGCTGCCAACATCAAGGCAGCAAGGTTGCCATGTTTTGACATCATGCCATGTCATTTTGACATTTGCAATTCAAAATTTGACACATGTAAACAACAAAATAAAATTTTCTTAATTTTATGCGGATGATGTCGCACGGGAACAACTAGTTTTAAATAAAGATAAATAGTATTGATAAATACCATAGATTAAGAAATGACTTTAAAAAATACAGAGTATATCAAAATATTTAAAAAGCTAACACTAAGTAAAAAAATTACGCCTTTTTCATTGTTTATTTTTTTATTCATTTCATTATCTAACAACATTCAATTAATTTGATTGTTGTAAAAAACTAACGCTAAATTATTCATCGATTCATGTTAAACGCAAATCGACGTTTCAAATTATACCTTGACACAAAAATGTAACGGTTTTTTATTACAATTTCCCTTAATTTTAACCTAAAAAAATGTTTTTAATTTTTAAGAACAAACCAATCAAATTCAATCACATTCAAATTGCAAACTTTTTGATTTTAACATTTATGTACCTTTGTTTGCTTTAATAATGAGTTTAAAATCGCCATATTTATACAAATGTCAAAGAGGAAAGATTTGTACTTTATGACCGACTTCCCAAAAGAGGGAGGTACTCAATTCGTCTGTATGCTTTTTTTATGTGTCACGGCATAACTCCGCCATTAGTGAACCGATTTTGATGATTCTTTTTTTATCCGAAAGGTACTGCTTGTGTATTGGAATAACTCGAAAACCAATTGACCGATTTGAAAAATTCTTACACCATTAAAAAGCTACATAATCACTGAGTAACAAAGACTACATGTTTTTTTATTATTTTTTAATACCACAGACTCAAAATCGCAAACAACTACTAGTTAATATAATGTGAAATATTAACGAGCAAAATGAATGGAAAAATACAATGATTTATTACATTTTTATTCATATTTATAATACGAGTAGTTTCCGTTTCACGCGATTAATTAACTATATAAATGCAAAACTTAAGAAATAATTCAGTACTTTGTTTGTCAGTGATGAAGTATTTCGTGATTTTAGTGACATTGTCACGTGTCTCTTGTATCATCTATGACACGTTTACTGGTCGGGAAGTGGCCCTTCAACGTCGAATGAGCAATTCAACACAAGATTTATTAGATGGCTTGAGTTTATTCTATCAAATAAGACCGTAAGTTGAACATTTACATCTACGACATAAATGCGAAAGTTTAGATGGATGGATGTTAGAGTTTGTAGCCTAAACGGCTGCACGCATTTCGATGAAATTTGGTATAGAGATAGAGGATAGTCTGGAAGAACACATAGTCTATTCAATTTTTTTTAACTCCACGCGGATGGGAGTCGTGGGCGAAAGCTGGTCTTTGAACAAACTATCGCTCAACATTGTGCGATTGTCGATTGTTTTGCAGCCACTTCAACAGTTTAGTTGCAAAACTTGCAACTAAACTGTTCAAATGCGCACTCTCTTAGTAGTTATGGAAAACTAGCTGTTCCCGTGCGGCTTCATCCGCATAAAATTATGAAAATTTTATTTAATTGTTTACATGTGTCAAATTATCAATTGCAAATGTCAAAATGACATGACGATGACAAACCAAGGCAACCTTGCTTCCTTGATGTTGGCAGCAACTTATGGTCTCTTTCCCACATTAGGGTTTTTATCCAAAATATTTACACCCTAAGTTTAATGGCGTAAATAATAATAGCCTACAGCGTGACGTAAGTGTAGGTCTTTTTATTAAAAAAGAATTATTCCAAAATATACTGTAATTGCTGACATCTTAGGCAACAAAGAAGTGTGTGTTTACGCTTTATTATAATAGTATAGATATAGATTAGCTATACAGGCTTCTAAAAGACAGATAAACGGTTAAAAATCAGTCATCTTCCAGATGGTGTACAATAGACGTTCCAGAATGTTCACCTTACGAGCCGCGTCGTGTAGACGGCACATGCAACAACCTGCGATTCCCCACACGGGGGGCGACTTTCACCCCCTACCATCGCTTACTACCCCCCAACCATTCCACATTCGGAGGTCTAAGGACATCAACGAGCGGTGAACCACTCCCCAATGCGAGGAAACTTCGAGTGTCGTTGATATCTGATGGTCGAGTCCATAATAAATACTACACACAATTGGTCACAAATCAATTGTTAATGATAACTGGTGATATCACATCGGCTCATGATACGATCAACTACATCGTGGTAACAACTACTTGTTGCTTCCCTGGGGGTGCGTTGAACCCTACTTGTATGCCGATAGAAGTGCCGTTCAATGATATACATTTAAGAGAAAGTGGGATACGATGCCTCAATTTGACGAGAGCCTTAACGTATCAGAGGTTTGGATGTGCCCCGATATCACTTCCACCGGAAAGAGTGAGTATTTTAACACGGAAACTATTATTAGTTGATACTTCATACTGTTAGGAATAAAATTAGTACCGTGCTATAGAATTGGCGCAACTCTAGATTATCGGCATAAACGTCACGTCCCTAGCTGACAGCTGTCAATGTCACTAGAAGTATGGATAGATTGGCGCGTAACTTGAGTCTTGACGAGAAGTATTGCTCTGAGTTAAAAGCGACAGTATCAATTAAATAAGTTGTCTAATAATACTATACATAAATGCGAAAGTTTAAATGGATGTTTGTTAGTTTGTTGCCTAAACGGATGAACGGATTTCGATGAAATTTGGTATAGATGTAAGAGTCTGGAAGAACACATAGGCTACTCACTTGTGTTTTTTTTATTCCACAAGGACGGAGTCGCGGGCAAAATCCATTCTACTATAATATGAAGATTTTTTTTTGTGACTGATTTGTCACTGTTTGCCTTGAAGAGGCATTTACAAATTCACCGGGCTTGAGGTGGTCCAGCGCAGATGGCGCTTAGCCTAAACCTCATAATAGCATAAACCTGAATATAAAGAGAAAAAGATTTGTTTATATTGAATACGATCCAAAATTACTGGTTTGAAAATTCCATCCGCGTAGTATAAAAAAAAAATCAAAATCCGTTCAGCCGTTTAGGCTACAAACTCAAACATCTAAACTTTCGCATATGCGCACCTCCATATAAACTCAGAAATCAAAGCGAGACTAAACGGTTGTACGATAATTTAGTTGTGTGCGCCTTCCAGATAAACACATCACCTCCACTCCTTGATATCTCTAATATGTACGGAATCAATAGTATCGGAGTTGATCAGTCCAGGTTAAAAGTTGATGGATTACTACGTTTTGAAGTTGACAAGGGGAAAGAATGGCCACCGAATGGGGCTCCTATCTGTTTAGCAAATGAACTGCCTCAAGAGACGTATTGCTATAATGGAGGTAACAACTTAAGACATGTAAATCTTACTAATATTATAAACTAGTTAAATCCCGTTACTCCATCCACGAGGAATTAAAAAAAGTAAAAGCAGGTAGCCTATGCGTTTTTCCAGATTATCCTCTACGTCTACGCCAAATTTCATCGAGATCCGTTCAGCAGTTTAGGCTACAAACTCTAACAAACATCCATCCATCTAAACTTTCGCATTTATAATATTAGTACGATACGATGTTTAGATGAATGGATGTTTGTTAGAGTTTGTATCCTAAACTGCTGAACGGATTTTGTTGAAATTTGGTAAAGATGTAGAGGATAGTCTGGAAGAAGACATAGGCTACTCAGTTTTTTTTTAATTCCACGCGGACCGAGTCGCGCGCGAAAGCTAGTTATCTGTATGTATACTAATATTATAAAGAGGAAAGATTTGTATTTTTGTATTTATTGAAACAACTCTAAAACTGGGCCGAATTCAAAAATTCTTTCATTATAAGAAGGTTACGTTACTAGAGAGTAATAATAGGCTTTGTTTTTCATTATTTTTTTTTATCTCATGCGGATGAAGTCGCAAGCAACAGCTATCTTTACTAATATTATAAAGTGGAAAGATTTCTATTTTTTTATATTGATATAACTCAAAAACTACTGGGCCGATTTCAAAAATTCTTTTACCGTTAGAAAGGTAATTTATCTGTAAATAACATAAGCTATAATTTTAAATTTCACGCGGACGATGTCGCAAGCTGGTAATAAAAAAAATATCGCGGAATTTCCCTGACTACTTCAAATACTAATCTAATGGATCTCAAGTATTCGGTGACCATAGAGTTTTAATTTATTTTTGTCCCATTAACTGTAGTTTGAAATATTCATCAGGTAATCCAGGTTTAAACGCCCCTCTTGGCATCCAACTGGTCGGTTTATGGCATTTTCGGAGTCACAACCAGATCGCCAGGATCTTAGCTCAGATGAACCCTTGTTGGGGAGACGAGCGGCTGTTTTTAACTGCACGAGATATTAATTTGGCGTTATACCAACATATAACATACTATGAATTGATGCCGGAAGTACTAGGTATGTGTTAAAAAAGCGCCAATAGCCTAATGGTTTGGGGTACGGACTTAATTATGCGGTCGAGAGTTCTCCCGCCATTCAACTGAGCACAAGCTTGGAGCTTAGTTGGAATGTTTTTTTTTATATCATAACGTGGCAAACTCGCAAGCGGCCTGAATCCACCGAAATGGAAAGCGACCGTTGCACATAAACATCCGCTATTGCAGCGCTGCCTACCCTTCATCGACGGAGGAGACTGCATAAAGAGGACATTTCCCCTTCCTATGTGTCTCCTCCATCGTCAAATCTACTTTTCCTTCGCATCCTTTCCTATTAAAAAAGGGTAGAAAGAGAAAGGGACTAAAATTAGGCCTCCGGCACCGCACTCGTCAGACGAAACGCGGAATTGCTTCCACTTCACGCCTGTTTTCTGTGTGGTTCACGCTATTAAACTAAACTAGAGTAAATAAATTGGAAAACAAACCATCATGTGGTAAAGGGAGCATAAACTACAAGCTGCCAACATCAAGAATTTTGACATTTGCAATTGAGAATTTGACAAATGAAATAATAATTTTTTTACAATTTCATACGGATCCAAGTCTTGATATATACTTTATTTTTAGGTTATAAATTATTGCTAAAAAACCAAGTTATATACGAAACAAACGGACACGTGGACGATTACGACGATTCTGTAGAGCCACGCGTCAGTATTGAATACGTCATCGCAACGAGATGGTTCCACACACTACAAGAAGGAAGACTTCAGTAAGCAAATGTTTCTTTAATTTTCTCATGACTTCTACGTAATATTCTATCTATATCTATCTATATAATAAAATTGGAGTGTCTGTTTGTTATATCAAAAAAAAAAATCTAGATTTCTAGATGTCTGTCTGTCTAATCTCCGAAGCTGGGCCGATTTCGACCTGACTTTCACTGGAGGGTAGCAGACATACCCTCATATTATAGGTTACTTTTTTTAATTCCGCGCTGTCAAAATGTAACAGGAGGTCCAAATTTGCGCTAACAATGTTTGCGGGTGACAGCTCGTACTAAAATACCATAGTTTCTCTAAATAAGGTTGATTAGTTTGAATAATCACGTTAATATATCGAATTAAATTCAATTAAGGTAAATTAAGGGACAGATATAATCTATACTAATATTATAAAGAGGAAAGATTTGTATTATTGATCTTTGTATGTATTGAAATAACTCAAAAACTACTGGGCCAATATAAAATCTGTAGTTTCTCTGGTGTTGAGGATGTCCATGGGCGTCGTTGACCACCTTGGTGTTCACGCCGCTCGTTTGCCCCCTTTTACTATAAAAAAAAATAAGTAACTCTTTCACTATTAGAAAGGTAATTTATCTGTAACATAGTCGATGTTGGTTTTATTATTTATAATTTCTCCCAGACGAAGTGGTGTGCAACAGTTAGCCTATACTAATTTCTATTTTTGATTTTTGTATATATTGTAATAACTCGAAAACTACTGGGCCAGTTTTAAAATTTTTTTCACTGTTAAAGATAATTGATCTTTGACTAACATAGGATGTGTAGGTTTTATTATTTTTTTATTTTACGCGGACGGAGTCGTGGGAGAAAGCTAGTTAAATAATAAAAAAAATAAACGGATAATTTTCCTTTCTAACGGTGAAAGAGTTTTTAAAATCGGCCCAGTAGTTTTTGAGTTATTTCAATACAAAAATGCAAATCTTTCCTCTTTATAATATTTGAATAGAATACCTGGAAAAGTATCCTCATTGTTCTAGATTATTCGATAATCAAGGAAAATTCCTCAATGAATTAGATATGACGGATTACACTCTACGTACTGGAGCGTTGCGTGTCAATAATACTGTAGAGGGAGTGACGCAAGGCGCGTTTCGAGAGCCCTGCGCCGGCAATGACCTCTACGTTGACCCTGAAGTAATACTTTTACAAGTTTCTAATGTTTCTCTATTCAATTCATAGATGGCGCTTTTCTATATTGTATTTCGATATGGGCAATAGAAATTCTATCTTGAAACTCACAAATTTCACATAAAATACAAAAAGATTTCTATCCAATTTCTCTTGTCATTCCATAGATGGCGCTTTTCTATAATGTGTTTTATGTGGTCAATGGAAATACTTTCTTGAAACTAATTTCTTACAAAAAAAGACATTTAGAATTATCCCCAACCGTCACTCCGTGGGGACAGATGGGAGTAAAAAGTTTTATCCGTCCCACCTTTTGCGACGAGGGACGGTTGGAACTTATTGGTGTAGATAAGTAATTCTCTTACTAGTTTCTATAATTTCTCTATTCATTCCATAGATGGCGCTTTCATGCAATGTGTTTTATGTGGGCAATAGAAATACTTACTTGAAACTAATAAATTTCACACAAATAATAATTTCTAAAAGACATTTATATGAAAATATCCGATATTCGTTCTAATTTGGGGAACTCAATTTCTCTCATTTCATAGATGGCGCTTTTCCATAATGTATTTCATTATGGGTAATGGAAATTCTTTCTTGAAACTAATTTCTTACAAATGAAAGATATTCAAGATAGTATTGAGGATTTATCAATAGATGGCGTTAGTGTGATGTGTAAATTGAAGTACTAAATGCCTCTAAATATTTTTGAATCTCTTGGATTTCTATTCATATTGCATTTTAGTAGATTTTGTAATTAAGGATATCTGTCATGTGGCTTATTTTCTTTGCCCGTCTAATATTTGAAACGTGTTATAGATAGGGGAGCGGATACTAGGTCCGTTACAGCGAGCCTCTGACGTTTCTAGCAGCGATATTATGAAAGGACGTGATGTAGGACTTCCTTCATACAATCGTTATAGAGAGCTCTGCCATTTGCCTATCGCTAATACCTTCGATGACCTCTACCAATGGATGCCTAAAGATGTTCGTATAAATCTTATCTTTAGTGTAAAACCATTAAAAACATATACAAAATCACGTTTAATCTTACTAAGAAATGTTTCAGTTTATATAGACGTTTGTTAGCTTGTACACAAAACTGCTAAATGGATTTTCATGAAATTTTGTTTAGACGTAGAGGACAGTTTTAAAGAACACATAGGCTCACTCTTGTTTTAATTCCACGTAGACGGAGTCGCGGGCGAATATTAGTAAAGCCCATATTAATGATAGCTGCCACCAGATATAGCCCAAATTTATCCGCCGACATTTATTACTTCATCTATAGACAAATTGCATAATAATGAAAATCTAAAATTAACTACTTAAAAAATATAGATAAAAACATTGTTAAAAATACTTTGGCCTTGATTAAAATAATAAACCATAAAAATCACTGACCTCTAAAAATGGACAGGATAAAAATATTATTTTGTGTCTGATTTCCACGATTTTGGTACTATCTGTAGCAGTTGTTTAGACAAAAATTAGAATTGAAAATAGACATTGTCAATTCAAGCAAAAGCAATTTCCCAAACACCTATCCATTTATACAGATCAGTGATAAAACTAGGTATCACTTTAATCATTAATTCCAGCAAGTAGACGTGATATCTCGTAGTTACGAGTCTGTGGAAGACGTTGATCTGTTAGCTGGTATAATGGTGGAGCGACCACTGCCGGGTGCTATGGTGGGTCCAACCCTCGCCTGCATCATGATAGACCAGCTCCTACGCTGGAGACGATCTGATAGATTCTGGTATGAGAACTCTATACATGCGGGATCGTTTACACAAGGTGAGTTCTTAGGCTATAACCCCGTTAGAATCTACTTTTTTTTAATTGAAATTGAATATTACTGTTTTTATTAGGTTTAGAAAATTGTGATATATTTTTGTGTTTTTAGCTTTAAGATATAAATTTAAATTTAGGAATAAACTTTGTTAAAATCTTACTTATATTATAAATGCGTAAGTTTAGATGCATGGATGTTCGTTCAGCAGTTTAGGCTACAAACTCTAACAAACATCCATCTAAATAATTCAAACATTTTGTGATAATGTTTAGTTTTTTTGGTAATAGATGGAGTTTTTTAATAATTTTGTAACATCGTCAATAAAAAGACACGAGACACTAAAATTGACAACTGAAATACCTTTCGGAGAAATAACCGGTGAAAATAATTTGTTCACTGTCTCGTCTGAATATTTCTTAAACTCCTATAGATTTTAAAGTTTATTTCAGAACAATTGTATGAAATTCGAAAAATGACAATCGCCCGATTGATTTGTGACCACGGAGACTCAGTGGATTCTATACAACCGTATGCTTTTGTACTTCCTAATTATAGGTATGTACAAATATATACTATCTATACTATTATAATAAAGCGTAAACACACACTTCTTTGTTGCCTAACATGTCAGCAATTACACCATATTTTCGAATAACTCTTATTTTTAAAAGCCCAACACTTACGTCACGCTTTAGGATACATAATTTTAATGCCATCAAACTTAGGGGGAAATATTTTTGATAAAAACCCTTATGTGGGAAAGAGACCATAAGTTGCTGCCAACATCAAGAAAGAAAGATTACTAAGGTTTATCATCTCATGTCATTTTGACATTTGCAATTGATAATTTGACACATGTAAACAATAAAATAAAATTTTCATAATTTCATGCGGATGAAGCCGCACGGGAACAGCTAGTGTATACAAAAATATATATTCCCAAGCCTTTCTATCCATTAAAAAATCTGTATTTTATTGTTTGCTTCTGTAAAAAAATTAACTACATATATCGGAGTTCAAATACACAAATAACAATGGTCTTTGACATTGGATAACAATTACCGTTACCAGCTGACTCAGCTCCTTTACTATTGGCTTATAGTTTTTGTTTCTTTCCCGTACAACTAATTTTTCTTATAAATTCGTCCCCGAAATTAAATATCGTTAAAATATATAGCCTAAAACATATAAGTGTAGGGTTTATTATTATTTTGAAAGAATTATACACAAATATGTTGTGATTGCTGACATTTTACATAACAAAGTGTGTGTTCACACTTTATTTTCTATACTAATATTATAAAGAGGATAGAATTGTATTTTTGTATGTATTAAACTCAAATACTACTGAACAAATTTTAATTCTAGCACCATTAAAAAGCTTTTAACAGTGGTAGAGTCCGCTTTAACATCTTTGCACGAATGGGCCGGCACGCCCCCAATACCACGACCACACAGAAGACAGGCGTGAAATGGAAGCAACTCCGCGTACAGTCTGATGAGTGTTGTGCCGGAGGCCTAATTTTAGTCCCTTTCCCTTTCCACCCTTTCTTAAGAGGAAAGGATGGGGGGAAAAAGTGGATTGGACGGTGAAGGAGATGCATAGGAAGGGGAAATGTCCTCTTTATGTGCGTCTACTCCTCCGTCAATTAGGGTAGGCAACGCATCTACAATTGCGGATGTCTATGGGCAGCGGTCGCTTTCCATTTCGGTGGATTCAGGCCGCTTGCGAGTTTGCCACCTCGTATTATAAAAAAAAGCTATATTAAACTGAGTAACACAGGCTATGTTTTTACTATTTTTACGAGCAACAGCCAGTACTAGTATAAATAATAAATATAAAAGATTTGTATTATTTTTTTATATTTACAGGAATGAAATAACAGACTGCTCGAATATTCCTGCCCTCAATTGGGACGTTTGGAGAGATTCCAGTTGCAACAATAATCCACAGAATTCAACAATAACACAATTAAATACAACACAAAATGTATGAAATAAATATGATTATGCAATATTATTTTGTTTTTTTTTATTCATTAAAATTATTAAAAAAGGGATTTAAAAAAACTTGAGACATTCACATGATGACCATTAACGCCATCTATTGATAGATCCCTAAAACCATTGATTTTATTTAAATTAATTGCCGATAGATGTCATTGAATTATCTTACTAATATCTTACTATCTTACTAATATTATAAATGCGAAATTTTAGATGGATGGATGGATGTTTGTTAGAGTTTGTATCCTAAACGGCTGTATGGATTTCGATGAAATTTGGCATAGATGTAGATGGTCCGGAAGAACACCTAGGCTACTTTTTTTTTTTAATTCCACGTGAACGGAGTCGCGGGCGAAAGCTAGTGGTTTTATAAAGATGAATCTTATTATTTGTATAACTTTGATTTTGTACAGTATGTCTTTGTTTACTAACTTTTGCCCGCGTTTCCGCGCTAAAAAACTAAACAAGTAAGGTTATGTTCTTCCAGACTATTTTCTATATCTGTTATATGTTTATGTTTAAATAAGAACACAGAGGCCATATACTTTTTTTTTTATTCCACTCGGACAGAGTCGCGGGCGAGAGGTAGTAATTATGTACATATATCATTGCAGTTACAAAAGTTATAATTATGGATAAACTAGCTTTCGCCTGCGACTCCGTCCGCGTGGAAATAAAAAACAAAACTAAGTAGCCAATGTGTTCTTTCAGACTATCCTCTACGTCTATGCCAAATTTCATCGAAATCCATTCAGCCGTTTAGGCTACAAACTCTAACAAACATCCATCTAAACTTTCGCATTTATAATATTAGTATGAAGTATGATTTAAAAACAAAGATAATTTTCGATTTGTATTTTACAAATATGTAAAAACACCAAAACAACTGGAGTTAACTCAAAACTACTTTCAACAGAAACCTTTTAACCACTGCTAACAAAGCCCTGGCTATAAACTAGTTAATATGGTTTTTGCTAAATTACTCCAATAATGAAAACAAGTAGATAATTAGATATATACTTAACTTGAACTCTAAAAAATAACCTACCTATTAAATTGAACCCTGACATGCTTGATTTTACACTTAAACCTCGCCTTGATCTAGATTATAGCTGAAAAAAAATGGACAAGAAATCTTTGAGAGCGAATTTTGGGATTATTCCCAACCGTTCATCCGCTCTGTCCCCATGTGAGAATGAAAAGTTTCATCCCTCCTTTTAGACCCACTATCACTAATATGGTGACGGAACCGTTACAAAATAAAATAAGCTCCAACGCGTCGGTGGCTCAGTGGTTTGAACACTTGACTTGTAATCTACTACAGGTCTTGGGTTCGAATCCCGCCGTACCAATGTGATTTCCGATTTTTCGAATTTTCACATGTACATAATTTACCCGACGTTCTTACGGTGAAGGAAAACATCGTGATGCAGCACATATCGGCGAAGAAATTCAAAGATATGTGTGAAGTCAACCATCCCGCACTTGGCCAGCGTGGTTGACTATGGCCTAGTCACCCCTTATTAGGGTAGGCGCCGAACCCCTCGGTGGGGACGTATAGTGAGCTGGTGATGATGAAGCTCCAACCGTCCCCTCGTCGCAAAAGGACGGATGGAAGAGCGGGGTGAAGGTTGGGAATAATCCGTTTTTGTACGAACATTTAAACATGTTGGTTTACTGGCATATTTATCACGTGGGCATATAGAAACTAATCTATCGCAAAACTGTTTAGTCTCGCTTTGATTCCTTTAAACTTATGGAGGCACACTACTCGATTTTTAGATCCAAGCATATTGGCTGTGAAACAATCGACAATCGCACAATAATTTTACGATAGTTTCGTCAAAGGTGTACGCCAGCTCTTAACTGAAACCATTCAGTTAAAACGATGTGTGTATTTAAAATAAGTAAAAAAAAATAAAAAAAACACACAGACGAATTAAGTACCTCCTTCTTTTGGGAAGTCGGTCAAAAACTCCAACAGTTAAAACGTCTTTGGCAGGCCCCGTATGTCAGAGTCCCGTCAAAATGTGTCCATTCATTGCGAAGCAAGCGTTAGTTAGTGTGTTAGAAGTTACTGAATTAAAAAAACTGGCATCAAAATTCCGTTAAAATCGCTCAACAAATTCCAGAGATAATTTGACAGGTAGTCAGAAATTACGGACTTAATTTGACTCCGACTTGACCTCGAATTTTAATACAACAATATTGTTTTGCACCTCAAAGTGTGTCATAGATTAGGAAAATAACCGAATCAATCCTTCGTTTAACACGAAACTCAATTACAAATAATAACTTAAATCCGTTAACTTCAAGTAAATCAAAATTAACGATTCAGTTGCGAAGCTACGCTCATGATGGATTGGTTTTACGTGTTTTTGTTAATACCGTCATTAACATTTGGTATAATTTATGACACGTTTACTGGAAGAGAATTGGGTACACCAAGACCCTTTACTAATTCTTCTTTAGTTTTGACAGATGATATGTTATTTTTCTTCTCTATACGACCGTAAGTAATTTTTACTTAATATTGTAAATGCGAAAGTTTAGATAGATGTTTGTTAGAGTTTGTGACCTAAAATTCTGAAAGGATCTCGATGAAATTTGGCATAAATGTATTGAAGACCACATAGGTTACTTTTGATCCTGGAAATAATTAAGATTCCCGTATATTTAGAGCATCCACACTTTTCACTGAAATATCGCACGACTGTTTCGATTGTCAATTGTTTCGCAGCTAGTTCAACTTTTTTGGACAACTAAAAATCGAGTAGTGTGCACCTTCATATAAGCTCACAGGATATTTTAGTCAAAGGTGTGGGAGCGGCTCTTAGCGGCAATAAACGAAAAAAATATAAAACTTTATTTCCAGTTGGTGTACACTAGATATTCCAGAATGTTCGCCTTACGAGCCTAGAAGGGTTGATGGCACCTGCAATAATTTACGCTACCCCTCCAGAGGGGCAACATTTACCCCTTACCATCGAATGTTACCTCCAAACCACGCAATGGACGGTGGACTTAGGACATCTATAACTGGAGAGCCACTTCCTAACACGAGAGACTTAAGAGTATCTCTTATACCAGATGGGAGAGTCCATAATAAGAAATACACGCAATTAATAACATATCTTTTATTATTAATGACAGGGGATGTTACTTCTGTTCATGACACGGTTAACTACGTAGTATTTACAACGACTTGTTGCACACCTTTAGGTCTAGTCAATCCAATGTGTATGCCGATAGAAGTGCCTTCAGATGATTTGTATTTAAGGACAAATGGTATTAGATGTTTGAATTTAACAAGAGCTATCACTTATCAGAGAATAGGATGTGCCCCGGAAACTCTGCCTCCAGAAAGGGTAAGATTAAAAAAACAACATTGACTAAATTTGATTAGTCTCATCACTCGAACTGTTAGCTTTTTAACCATTTTGATATATTCTGTATTATTAAAAAGTTATTTAATCTATTTAACTATACTATTTTTTTCTATTTAAAACAACAATATTGTTAGGAAAATATTAGGAAACGGAAGGGATAGTTTTATGAAAATACATGGCAAAGAGTGGCTCGGGCGCTCAGTCGCAGTTTCGGCCCTCAGTCGCAGTCTCGGCGCTCAGTCGCAGTCTCGGCGCACAGTCGCAGTCTCGGCGCACAGTCGCAGTCTCGGCGCTCAGTCGCCAATAGGCTCAGTGTATTTCTAGTCGTCTCCGCGGAACGTTCGATGTTGCGATGTCGAATACTTCAGTTTGTGTTTTAAATTAATTAACAAGTATTGTTAGTATGGCCGTCTGTCTATATTTTAAAGGGAATAGTTTGTGTTGAAATATCTAACATTTTGTATTTATGGTTTTTTAATTAAAAAATATTATTTTTCATTTCCAGATCAACACATCGCCTCCAATGTTAGACTTAACTAATGTTTACGGTAACGATCAGCCCAGCGTAGACCAATCCCGGTTGAGGACTGGTGGTCTTCTACGTTCAGAAGTTTATAAAGGCAAAGAATGGCCACCAGATGGCAGCGTCTTCTGCATGTTGAATCAACGCCCTCAAGAAACTTATTGTTATAATGGGGGTAAGTAAAAAATTAATGTTTACTACGGCAAGTATAATTACAAATCATCTGGTACGGCGGCCAGCTAAATTGTGCCCCCAATGATATTTTCGCCAGGGATTATTCCCAACCGTCACCCCGCTATTCCCACGTGGGAATAAAAAGTTTTATCCGTCTCACCTTTTAGTCCCACTCACTATTAAGGTGACAGATGGAACCGTTAATAAGTTCCAACTATCCCCGCGTTGCAAAAGTTGGGACGGATGAAGCTTTTTATTCTCACGCTCTAAGCGTGAGCACAATTTTGACTAAACTGTTTAGTTACCTTCGCTTTGCCTAAGAGCGTATGGAAGTACACTACTCGATTTAAACTTGTGCAAATAAACAGTTGAATTAGCTCCGAAACATTCGACAATCGCACCACAGTGTGAGATAGTTTAGTCAAAGTTGTGTGCCAACTCTAACGGCCAAATCAAAGATATAGTTGTCAAGTTTAGTGCCGTGTCGTGTTGCATTCACAAGTAATTAAACATTTTACTAAATCATAATAAGCTGCATATTTTGTTATAAAAAAAACATACAGATTTGAGTACCTCCTTCTTATGGGAAATCGGTCAAAAATACATTAATAACAAGATATTCGCAAAAAACAATGCACTAAAAAGTAACGAAATAATACCTTGAATTATTTAATAACACGCGAAAGGAGTCGCGGGCGAATACTAGTTTATAATGTTAGTAAGATAAAATAATTATTTTATAATAAAATATGTATTTTACAGGTAATCCAGCGTTGAACGCTTTAATTGGCATCCAAGTGGTCGGTCTATGGTTCTTTAGGAGTCACAACCAAATCGCCAGGACCCTAGCTCAGATGAACCCTTGTTGGGGAGACGAGCGTCTTTTTGTCACCGCTAGAGATATTAACTTAGCGTTATACCAACATATAATATACTATGATCTGATGCCTGTTATCATAGGTATGTAAAGTTCACCTATATAAAGTGTCGTAAGTTCGAAATTGCAGATTTTAGTTTATTAATTTACTAGCTTTCGCCCGCGAGTCCGTTCGCGTGGAGTTCAAAAGACAACAAAAGATAATAACTTTTAATAGTAGCCTATGTGTTCTTCCAGACTATCATAATTTAGTTTATATGTTTTTGTTTCTAATGAAGAGTTTCTACAGAAACACTGTTTTACAGAATTAGTTTTAGCTAGAGGGAAGTTTCAGTCTGTCTCTACGGAAGATCGACATTGCTTGCATACATTTCTATCAGACGTAATATCTGAATCCACTCGTTAAACATATCCTCTTTCACACAATTCATACTTTCAGTCTTCCTCTACCTTTGTAGCCATCAATAAACCACACGAAAGTTTAAATATGAATATCTATACTAATATAATAAAGCGTAAACACACTACTTTGTGGCGTATGATGTCAGCAATCACAGCATGTTTTTGAATAATTCCCTCTTTAATAAAATAACCTTACACTTACGACACGCTTTAGGCTATATATTTTTACGTCATTAAACTTAGGGCGGTAAATAAATTGAAACACCATCATTAGGGAAAAGGACCATCAACCAAAGCTGCTGACATTAAGGAAGCAAGGTATATGGTAACGGTAATTTTGACATTTGCAATTGAGAATTTGACAAATTTCTATAATTTCATGCGGATAAAGTCGCATGGGAACAACTAGTATTTAATAATAGTTTAGAGGGGGCGCACGCCTCTGACACAACTATTGCATAATTCTCGGTTGTTTCGCAGCTCAACTGTTTAGTTGCAAGACTGAAAATCGAGTAGCGCATCCCTAGTTATAAGTAAAGCGAGACAACAGTTGTGCGATAGCTTATAGTGTGTCTAAATAATTTAGATTAGTTTGACAATTCACTTCAAATTTAGTAGGGATGGGTTGTGTAAAATTAATCATGAATCTTATCGATTTTTATTCTTATAGAAGTTGGAATTGATAGATTTATAGTTATAACTTATGAATTAAAAAAAAACACTGTTTTCTCAAATTAATAATGAACATAACAAATAATAAGAGTAAATAAATGTTAATTACTACTACAGCCGTACGTAATCGAATTGGATTTCGTTATTATTTCTGTCATCGCTAAATTCTCTACACTATCATCAATACTAGAATTGTCCTATAAATTAGTTAATAGGAAAATAACAATTTTAGTTGAGTTCGATAATTATTTAAACCAAATATCGATAGTTCAAAATTGTTCGCTATGCTTGTTAGTTTCGTCTACGATACCTGTCTATTAAGTATGGCATTTGCTTATATAAATTGAATTCTATACTTTATATGCGTCATTTAACAAACTAATCTATCTTATTTAGACAAACTATAGAAAACGGTGCACTAAAATGTGCTATCTCATTTCCAGGTTACGATATATTATTAAAAAACAAAGTGATTTTCAACACATACGGCCATGTTGACGATTACGACGATTTGTTGGAACCTCGAGTTAGTATTGAATACGTTATTGCTACAAGATGGTTCCACAGCGTTCAAGAAGGAAGACTACAGTAAGTGATAAACATTCTAGAATAAGATAAGTAATTAGTTTTAGTTTAATAATAAATTTACCTGCCTCAAAACATCAAATAACGACACTATACGGATTTCAAATCTATACTAGATGCTCGCGACTTCGCCCCCGTGAAATTTTTAAAAAAATAGCTTATTTTTTTCACTGATAAATCACCTTTCTAACGGTGAAAGAATTTTTAAAATCTGCCCAGTAGTTTTTGAGTTATTTCAATAAATATAAAAATACAAATCTTTCCTCTTTGTCAGAGTGCTTAAAAAAGGGTTTGCTGACAAAACATTGTAACGACGTACCAAGCTCATTATTATAATAAATATCTAACTAACCGAATTAAAAAATTAAGCAGTTGTGCAGTTCTAACTATAAAAATCTACATATTTTCTAGACTATTTGATAACCAAGGCAAACTTCTAAATGAACTTCGAATGATGGACCACAGTCTCCGCACGGGCGCGCTACGCAATAACAATACTATGGAGGGCGTGACGCAGGGCAGCTTCAGACAGCCCTGCGCGGACAATGACTACTTAGTCGACCCTGAGGTAATGGATTGTTTCCAACCATCACCCCGCTCTCTCCCCACGTGGAGACAGATGAGAAAAATTTTCATCCGTCCCACTTTTTGCGACGAGGATGGTCGGAACGTATTTAATTTCTTAACGGTTCCGTCTGTCATCTTATAGTGGGACTAAAATGTGGATGTATGAAACTTTTTATTCCCATTTGCTACCACGTGGGGACAGAACGGGGTGACGGTTGGGAATAAACCCTTTGTTATGTAGGATGACAGCAATCACAGCATGTTTCTAAAATTATCCTTTTTTTGACCGACTTCCCAAAAGAAGGAGGTACTCAATTCGTCGATATATTTTTTTTTGTGTGTTACGGCATAACTCCGCCGCTAGTGGACCGATTTTGATAATTCTTTTTTTATCCGAAAGGTAATGCTTGCAGGTGGGTCCCATTTTTTTGTTTGATTTTTAATAAAAAGCCCTACATTTAAACACGCTAAAGGCTGTATCTTTTTACGCTTTTCAATTTAGAGAGTGAATAGATTGGAAAAATATCATGCGAGAAAGAGACAAAAACTAAAAACCAATAACAGTAAAGAAGTAATATTGCGATGGTAACGGTTATTGTTGGAGTTTGACAAAAACTGTCCTTGTCATTTAATTATTTGAATTTCGACATTAAAAACATATTTTTTTTAATATTATGCGGATGCTGCCTTAACGGAACAGTTGTTAATGAACACAATTGAAATTGTTAAATGTATTCTTATATCTTCCAGGTGGGTGAACGAATTCTGGGTCCGCTCCAACGTGCATCTGATGTCACCGCGAGTGACGTCATGAAATGCCGTGACGTAGGACTGCCTTCTTACAACAGATATCGGCAACACTGCGGCCTGCCTGTTGCTAAGAGCTTTGACGATCTTTATAAATGGATGCCTAAAGATGTAAGTTTAAAGAGCCACATACAAAGCCTTCTAACAAACGACGACATTTGAAAATGTAAAAGCATCGAGATGAAGCGAAATGGTTACAATTAGTGTCACCATTCTGCTGTTAGTATCTCAAAGTGTAACTATTCAATTATAACTCTTACTAGCATTGTAAATCCAAAAGTTTGTATAGATGGATGTTTGTTAAAGTTTGTATCTGAACTGCTAACGGATCTCGATCAAATTGGACATAAATGTAGAATAGTCTGGAACAACACATAGGCTACTTTTGACCTACTTCCCAAAAGTAGGAGGTACTCGATTCGTCTGTATGTTTTTTTTTAATTCCGTATGGACGGTGTTGCGGATGAACACTAGTAATTTTTAACAATTTACAAAAAACTGCACTAAAAACTCAACAACAACAACCCATTGATGCTACAAAAGTTTAGCACATAACCTCAAAATTGTGTAATCTTTGCAGCAAGTTGACGCAATATCTCGAAGTTATCAGTTCGTAGACGATGTAGATCTTACGGTAGGTATTTTAGCAGAAAGAGCAATGCCAGACGCCATCATGGGTCCGACTCTAGCCTGTGTTATGATAGACCAGTTGGTACGATGGAGGAGATCTGATAGATTTTGGTATGAAAATTCTATACATCCAGGATCCTTCACACCAGGTATTTAGGACTTTACTATTTTTGTATTGCGTTAAACCAGTAATTTTGGTCATAATGTTGAAATAGCCAAACTTTGGTCACGTCATGTATTTATTTTATTTCGCTCTAAAAACTGTTTTTTTCTTATTCATAATTTCAACAACTCATTATTGCAGTGACGTTCATTTTTACTACATGTTTAAGAAAATATTATGGACGTCGTTACAATGTTGCGTCAGTAAAACCTTTTTCTTTTTAAACACTAAGGATGTTACAAGAAAATCGAATGAAAAACAACGATTTTCATAACTTAATCCGATTCTCCTTTGTTTGAAGTCAATATCGATTTATTTAATTGATTTTATTTTTCAGAACAACTTTATGAAATAAGAAAGATGACAATGGCGCGAATGATTTGTGAACACGGTGATTCTGTTGATACGATACAGCCGTATGCTTTCTTACTTTCCAGTTATGGGTAATTAAAAACAAATAATTTCATAGTTAAAATTCTTGTTATTAGATAATAACCATTTTATTTCATTTTCAGAAACGAAATAAGAAACTGCTCGAATATTCCAAGTCCAAATTATGAACCATGGCGCGATCAAAGTTGCAATAATAACAGTACTTTGCAAAATTATACAATAACACAGATATTGTATAACGCAACTCAAAAAGTATTGGGAAATAATAAAAAAAACTGATAACGTTTTACTAACAACTGGAATGGTGGTATTATACTGGGTAGTTTTCAGTTAATATAAAATCGAATTTAATTTTGTAATAAACGTATAAAATCATATTGTTTTTCATTATAATAACAATTTTTAAACATTTTTAAATGGCCAAAAGTCTTCCACCCATGGCCCAAAATATTAAAATATTTCGATTGGTCTATAATTGGCGCCAAATAGTGACATATGCAAATTGCATGTCAAAAACTTTTTAACGTGCGGTAGATGTAGGAAATTATTTGTTTTGTTAATGTATTTCATAATTATAAGAACTTAAGAAGAGAATATAAATAAAATACCGTAATGGCGAGAACGAAAGCTTCTGTTGGTGCAAAAGGTAAGTTATACGTCTAGTATACTACATTGCATTATAAACTTCGATCACCAATAACAGTCATGTATATATTCTCGAAGGTTATTTGCGTTAAAATCAACTATGTTACAATCTATCTTCTTTAAACTATGATTCCTTACCAGTTTTAAAACTTGAATATCAATTTTGACACCGAAACTAACAGAAATCAAGTAAAATACATGGCATTAGTTGTAAACATACATTTGTAATTAATTCTTGAATTTTAATCTTAACATTGTCATCTATTCATAAAGTAAATGAGTTAGTAAACAATTCGCTTAAACATCATACCTTTAACCCAAACTAAACTTTAAACAAAGGCGAGACTATGATAGTGGTTTTTAATGTGGAAAAAATTAAAGCTACAAAGTTATTAATTTTTAAAGTGAGTGTTAGATAAAATGAGTATATTTTATAATCATTTTTATATAATATAAGGTGGCAAATGAGCAAGCGGCCACCTGAATCCACAGAAATGGAAAGCGACCGCATAAACATCCACAATTGCAGCGTTGCCTACCATTGATTAATGGAGGAGGAGACAAGAAGACTTTTCCCCTTCCTATGCGTCAAATCCACTTTTCCTTCCCATCCTTTCCTGTGTGGAAAAGAAAAGGGAGTAAATTAGGCCTCCAGCACCACACTTATCAGACGAAACGCGGAATTGCATCCACTTCATGCCTGTTTTCTGTGTGGTTGTGGTATTACACTTGGCGAGCTGGCCAATTCGTGCAAAGATGTTAAAGCGGGGGTCTACCACTATCATAGTAGCATTAATAATATATCATTCCATTTCAGTATCATCTGGTAAAAGCAGCAAAGCAAGATGTTGTGCTGCCCCTCCATCAAACAGTATTGGAGCCTCAGGTAAGCAATTAACAATAACATTATTATTTCATTAAAATCCACATTTTAATGTATCTTTAAATAATGGACTAACTCAATACAGGCCTCACTTCAGTCCCTTTTTCTTTACACCCTTAAGGGGAAAGGATGGGAAGGAAAAGTGGTTTTGACAGCGGAGACACATAGGAAAGAGAATTATCCTCTTTGTGTATCTCCTCCTCTGTCAATTAAATGTAGGCAATGCATCTGCAATTGCGGATGTTTATGTGCAGTGGTCGTTTTACCATTTCTATAGATTCAGGTGGCCGCTTGTTTGTTTGCTACCACATATTAAAAAAAATACAGATTCCTGTATTAAGCTACACTTAACAATGGTAGATCCCGCTTCAACTTTTTTGCATGATTGTTCTTTCCTAATTCAATACCATGACCACACAGAAGACAGGCATGAAGTAATCCTACATACAGTCTTGAGTGTGCGGAAAGTCTTGTTATAGTAATGATTCCTTTCCCACGGTATTATTATAAGGAAAATATGGGAAAGGAAACTATATGTTATGCAAGTTAGGGGAAATATCCTCTTTTTACTGAGTCCTCTGACGATTTAAGGTTGTTAATGCTTCAGTAAATATGAGTATGGGCAGCTTTCCATTTATATATATTTATACTAGCTTTCGCCCGCGATTCCATCCCTGTGGAATTAAAAAAAAAAACAAAGCTGAGTAGCCTATGTGTTCTTCCAAACTATTCTCTATGTCTGTGCCAAATTTCATCGAAATCCATTTAGCCGTTTAGGCAACAAAATCGAACTAACATCCATCCATCTAAACTTTCGCATTTATAATATTAGTATGATTGACAAACAGTTGAGTTCTCAAGATGTTATTACAAATTTTAAAATACTGTCCTCAAATATTGTTTAATTTTAGAGGACACCTGTATTTACCTGTAAAAAAGTCAAAAATTGCCAAGTAGTTATTTTGTACAAAATAGACACTTAAACGAAACTTATTCCACATCAAACCTAAAAAAATAATTATGGGAATCAGATCATAGATTGCATCATCATCTCCAGCTCACTTATACGTCCCTACCGAGGGGCTCGGAGCCTACCCTAATAGGGGGTGACTAGGCCATAGTCAACCACGCTGGCCTATTGCGGGTTGACTTCACACATATCTTTGAATTTCTTCGCCGATATGTGCAGGCATCAACGATGTTTCCCTTCACCGTAAGAACGTCGGGTAAATTATGTACATATGAAAATTCAAAAATCACATTGGTACAGCGGGATTCGAACCCAAAACCTGTAGATTACAAGTCAAGTGCTTAAACCACTGAGCCACCGACGCTCCATATGCACAGTAATCAAAATTCTTACATGTATTTTTGACAGACTTCCTAAAAGTAGGTACTCAATTCGTCTATATGTTTTTTTTACTAACGTTATAAATGCGATTTGGACGGATAGATATGCTAGAATTTGTAATCGTCTTGGATGAAAACTTACAGATATTCGTTTTATTTCCTCATGACCTTTAAAATTGTTTATCTTATCTCGTACGTAATAAGATTTAATATCTATTTTAGACAATATCTTAAGTATTTGATAAGATATTTATTATATCATACCATCTAAGAAGTGATTTGACATCTTACTATCATACTATGGCAGAGCCCACTTTAACATCTACTCACGAATGGGTCAGCTCGCCCGGTGTAATACCACGACCACACAGAAGACAGGCATGAAGTGGAAGCAATTCCACGTACAGTCTGATGAGTGTGGTGCCGGAGGCCTTATTTTAGTCCCTTATCACCCTTTTCTTAGGAGGATAGGATGGGAAGGAAAAGTCGATTTGATAGGAAGGGGAAATGTCCTCTTTATGTGCGTCTCCTCCTCCGTCAATTAAGGGTAGGCAACGCATCTGCGATTGCGGATGTTTATGGGCAGCGGTCGCTTTCCATTTCGGTGGATTCAGCCCGCTTGCTCGTTTTCCACCTTATATTATAAAAAAAATACTTATATTGTAAATGCGATAGTTTAGATGGATGGATATTTGTTAGAGTTTGTAGCCTAAACTGCTGAACGGATGTTGATGAAATTTTGTATAGATGTAGAGGATAGTCTGTTAGAAGACATAGGCTACTTACTTTTGATTTTTTTTATTCCACACGGACGGAGTCGCGGGAGATTGCTAGTATATGATATAGAAAAAAAGCAAGATTTGATTTTAAAAGATTTGCTTAATGGAAGTCGCCACATTATTAGATTAGTTAACGAGAGGCTGATATTCTAAAAAACAAATAAAACAATTCAAAAACCTATAGTTCCTATAAATTTTAAAAACCAGTGAGAACTTAAAAATATCGGTTTTCATATTAGCATTCTCTTTGGAAAAAAATTTTACAACTACCCACTCTTAGCGACTAACGCCCATTTTTGCAAGCTCAAAAACATAAATCTAAACCTCAACATGTCGCCACTGACCTAAGTGCACACATAATAAATTCATAGATTTTAGGATGACATTTCTTAAACTACCCACTCTAAGATAAAGGTTACTTTAATGGGCAGAAGCGTATTCAAAATTTATTTTTTAATAGAGTAGTGAGTTTTTGTAGTAGTTTTTTTTTTAATAGAGTCAAGATATTAATAACACACTAGCTTTCGCACGCGGCTCCGTCACGTGTAATTAGAGAAAAAAGCAAGTAGCCTATATGTTCTTTCGGACTTTCCTCTACATCTATTGAAAATTTCATCGAAATCCCCTTTGTAGTTTAGGCTACAACCTCCATCTTTCTAAACATTCGCATTTATAATTATGATTAAAATTAAAATTAAAATTTAGGAACTATGAATTTTTAATTAATAATATTTTAAATGAAAAAAATTGGGTGTAAAAAATTTATTTCTACCGTCATTCCTCTTTGTAACCTTTTAATGATTTCTTATTCGTCTGATAGTATAAATCCCAGAATGCCATTCTTGCGTGATAAGACCTCTTTTTCATAATCAATTCATTGTCAATCTCTAAATAGTTGAGAGCATTTTTCGTAATCGGCAACCATTTGACAGGGAGAACTTCTGAAATCTCAGGTGTTGGGTCTCTGGAAAACAATAATACATTACAGTCCTACCGATTAATGTGAGCCGGTGGACGATAACTTATTAGTGCCCTCTAAAACAAAACAAAACTTTCTAATCACAGCATATTTTTGAACAATCCTTTTTTAATGCCTTACACTTCACGCTATTAAACTTAGAAGGTAAATGAATTAAAAAACCTTCATGTAGGGGATAGGGACTATAATACAAGCTGCCAAAAATTAAGCAACGTTATTATGGGAACGGATTCATTCGGATAAAGCCACATGGGAACAGCTAGTTCATATAAAAAAGTAATAATCTTCTCATCAGTATCAGTGACTAGCTGTTCTCATGCGACTTCATCCGCATGAAATTGTAAAAGTTTCATTTTATTGTTCACATTTGTCAAATTATCAATTGCAAATGTCAAAATGACATGACGATGACAAAACATGGCGACCTTGCTTCATTGGGCAACAACTTATGGTCTCTTTCCCATAGGGTTTTTATCCAAAATATTTACCCCCTAAGTTTAATGGCGTGTAAATATATAGCCTAAAGCGTGACGTATGTCTAGGGCCTTTTATTAAAAAAAGAGTTATTCGAAAATATGTTGTGATTGCTGACATCTTAGGCAACAAAGTGTGTTTACGCTTTATTATAATAGTATAGATATTGAACATTGATATTTAGACAGTAACGTGACCTTTTATCAAAGATGTGAGATATCTCGAACGTGCAGGATGGTAGATAATTTTTTTTTAGATAAGATTATCCGTTTTATTTATAGAAAATACGCAAAAATAACTACAAGATGATCCTCAAATTGACATGAAGATGCTTCAATTTTATTTGTTAATTTTGTAACCCTTTTATAAGAAAAGGAAGGGAAAGGAAAGTGAATTTGATGGATAGGAGGACGCATAGGAAGGCGAAATAAGCGTTACCTCTATCGATTAAGGGTAGGCAGCGCATCTGCAATTGCGGATGTCTGGCTACGCAACCATCTGGTTGCTACTCCTTTTCCACCATATAATATAAAAAGACTCACCCATATTTAGCGAAATTCGTCCACATAGTGGTCATCCTATCCATCATAATTTGGTCTTCATCCGTCGGTGTATCTGTCAGTGCTGTCATTTCAAATAAATAACCATATTCATCAGAATGTATCGCACCAGGATATGTTATATTATCCCGTAGCTTCCCAAAGTTTCTACCCCCACTGTATTTGAATACGTAATGATAGACTTTACCATCATTATCTAAATAATTAGATAATCTTCTATGTATTGGATGAATAAAAGTGTAGTCCGAATCAAAATCTGTCAATTCATATTTCATTATTTCACTCACAGCTTCATCACCTAAATAAAATTGTTTAACCAATGAAACTTGATTTATATCAACAGTATGAAATCCTAGTCCAAGATTCTCATCGAATATTTCATTCTCATCGTATTTATCTGCTGGTTTGTTGTAAAATTCGAACAGTTTCTCCATATTTGTATAACCTATTAAAATTGGTGTATTCTTCGCTTTACTTATATCGTAATTCATAGGATGATCGGTGATGAAATCTTCAACACCTTCGAATTCCTTTTCAACACAGGGTACGCAAGTTATTGATAAATCTAACGCAGTAGTTACCACTAATTTAGGATCTACATTAGCTAGGAATTGTACCGCGTCATTTATGTCATCAGTTTCCCAACCTAATCTTGATGCTATCCTAATTGGTACACTTTGATCGGATTCCATAACACCCCAAGGACATAAACTCGTTCCACTCTGACTGATAGCTTTATTGAATAATTTCTCTTTCTTTGATAAAAGGTGGTAATCAACAGAAACACCTCCAGCGCTCGCGCCAGAAATTGTGACCTGGTTAGGATCTCCACCAAACGCTTCGATATTTTCCTTAACCCATCTTAATGCTGCCACCTGATCTTTCAATCCTTGATTACCTGGCACTTCAGGTGTGTCTAAACACATAAAACCATATAAACCTACTCTATAGTTAATGGTAACCAATACAACATCTTTTTCGACTAAATATTTAGCACCGAATTGCGTTCTACCTCCATTACCGTAAAGAAAACGACCTCCATGTATCCAGAACAGAACAGGAAGTTTGTTAATAGAAGATGCTTTGTTAGGAACAAAGATGTTTAGATGTAGACATTCCAATGTACCGATAGCTTGGTCTGTTCTTTGTAAATTCTGTATGCAAATTGCTGAATCATCGTACGCATCAAATGTGCCTTCAAAATCAGGGTACGGCAGCGCTGCCTAGAATAAAAATCACAAAACAATCTCTTCATTAAGTAAATTAAAGTTAAAATGATAAGCTTCATACGTTTAGTTATTTAACACTAGCTTTTGCCCGCGACTTTTTAGTAGCTCATGTGTTCTAGACCAGAGGCTCCCAACCTCGTATCGCGGGGAATATGGCGCTCGCGGCACGATTTCTATGTTGCCGATACTATTTGACACAGATTTTTTTCTTAAACATCAATTAAAAACGTGAATTATTCTTATTTATTTACTAGCTTTTGCTCGGGACACCGTCCGCGTGGAATAAAAAAAAAGTATATCCTATGTGTTCTTCTGACTATACTCTACATTTATGACAAATTTCACGGAGATCCGTTCATCTGTTTAGGCTACAAACTCTAAAAAACATCCATCTATTCATCTACTTTTTTTTTTGGTAGGGATGTGTGAGTAACCTAACGCCATATAAAAGGAGAAAATAAACTACTTACCCCAAATGGATTGGTATAATTGACCATAGCGTATGGTATACCGAGGAACATAGCGTAGTCTCCGTCCGTCGCCTGCAGACCGCGGATCAGACCACGCTTGCTGTCCACTAGTGGGTCTAACCGAGGCGATGCCCACGCTACGGTAATAAATAACAAATATACTAAGACCTGCATCGTAAGACCAATTTCGAACGAAAGCAAATTTTTTTTGTGAGTCCTTTTAAGGTCGTTTCATATCTAACTCGAGTGTTTTGTTGATTTTAAGATATAAATGATATGTTTTTTTTTTGACAGATGGTATCTCTTAATACGTGTGGATTTATCTGTTATGTCCAATCACAAATATATGACTAATATAGTAAACATCAAAATATATATACATTTAAAAAAGAGAAAACCAGACAGATTGACAATTAGGAGAAAACTGAATAGAAATACACGTCAATTTGCTAAAATCACTTCATTTGTTTAGGCTAAAATTAAATTGACATATGAGTAAAAGCCAAAATATAAAAACGTAACGCAACTTAACTTATTTTCTGATAGTAAAAAGTGCATAGCAAGTATTAAAAGTTTATTTGAATCTGGAAGTTGCTTCTTTACTTATGATTGATGATAAAGGCAGTATAAAAAAACTACCCGTAGATTAGCACTATATAAATAAATGCATATCTAGAAATGTCAGAATTGGGATAAGAAATTTCTGTCTACCCTTTGAAGTTAAACGAACGACGGCTCTTTTTCATCTACCCACCTTTATCACTGTCTATAGCATAAAATATTATTTGAAATGTATAATGTCTTAAGATTTGTAATTTTTATGTCATAAAATGGTAAACGAGCAAGTGGCCCCCGGAATCCGCCAACATGGCGAAGCGACCACTGCCCAAACAGCCGTAATTTCTGATTTGCTACCCTTAATTGCGCACATTAAGATAGTTCCCCTTTCCTGTAAGTCTCCTTTCCATTGTTTCCTTATAAGAAAAGACTGGAAATGGACAGGTACTAAAATTAGGTCTTAAGCGTCCCCTTTAAAATCCACTTCTTATTTCAATTATTATCCTTAAAATGGAGGGGCTCAAATTAGTATTGTAGTATATTTTTTTAATTACTAGTGTTATTTTTCAGGTGGCGGTGATAGATCATCTAGGGGTCTTTCAGGTGGTAACCCTGTATGCCCTAGGGAGACACCGATATGGCAACGACCTATCACCAACTTTATCGTCACCAACAAAGCTGATAGTGATAGTGATACTCCAAGTAAGTTATATTCTCATCATCCTCATCACATGTGGACATAAAACCTTCATATTTGTCGCGTGCCAACCCTACTTGGAAAGTTTCTTTGCTTTTCAATTTGTGTTTGAATTTTGTGAAGTAAAACATAGTCTGGAAGAACACATAGTGTACTCAGTTTCGTTTTTTTAAATATGCGCACGGACAGAGTCGCGGGCAAAAGTTAACAATTTAAAAACTAAAATCCTTCCCCACTATTAAACTAATCGATATTAGAACCTTTTTAAAATATCTTTAAGTAAATTTCCACAGGAAGCAGCCAACAGAATAACAGTACAAAAGATGACGAAGTCGAAAATTCTAAAAACATGGATTCCGACGAGGAAATAATAAAAACCAAACCGAAACGAAATAAAATATTATCAGACGACGAGGAAGAAATACCTAAAAATACAGAATTAGAGGAATCATTAGTTTTAGAACCATTAACAGGTGAAAATAGTCACAAAATAGATGAATATTACCAAAAAAATAACAAAGGTAAGGGAAAAGGGAAGAAAACTAAAGAAAATACAGATGAAATAAAAAGAAATTTAAAACGAGATTTAGAAGACATTACATTCGGTGAAGAAAGTGAACATAGTAATAAAAAAGCTAAAATTGAATAATGGGTAAGTTCAATTAAAATGTAGGGTAGTTCAAAAAACTTTTTAAGATAGAAATTTTTGTAGATAGTTACAATAAACTATTGAATTTAAATTTTTAAATTAAATTAATATTGTCTTTACAGGGTTTAATTGATTTTAAATTATAATTACAAATTTCAAACTACCCACTAGTGTTCAATATTCACAACTACCCTACAATTTTCAGTTCTCAAGACAGTTTATGTTGAACATAACATCTCCGAGAAGAATTGAAGAATAAAAAACTACATTATTTTGTTATTTGATTACTACTAAATTAAAGTATAAAAAAAAAACTAAAAAAAAAATACGGCTGGTCTGAAGATTTAAGTGTTTTAAGTAATATTGAAGTGACGTGTGATAAAAAGTACAAAATAAGTGTTGATTTTAATGTTTTTAGACTTTTTTATAAATAAATGTCGACTCCCTATTGTTTTATTTAATCTACCCTTAGTAATATGACTAGCTATTCCCATGCGGCTTCATCCGCAATGTCTACATTTGCAAATTCTAATCCTTAAGACAACGAATGCCTACGATAACAATTTCCGTTAATACTTTGCTATTTCTTGTAGTTTTTGTCCCTTTCTCGCATTATTTTTCCCCAATTTATTCACCTAAATTAGATAGTGTGAAAATACATAGCTTGTGACACTTGACGTAATAAGGAGGGCACTAGTGAGCTATTTGTGACATCACCTTCAGTTAGATATAGCATTTTTTTTTAATTATAATTAGTAGATTTGTGCTAATTTAACTAGTAATTTTTCCTTTAAACAATCCAACTAAGCTCTAGTCTTGTGCTAGGATATGGTCGAAGGATTCGAACTCTCGACCGCAAGATCGGTAGTCCGTACCCAATACATTGGGCTATTAGCGCTTGTACTAAAGATCGATCTTTAGAAAGTCATACTATACTTTATCTCTACGTCACGAAATATCTTAGAGCGTTTTAGATAAGATAATCTCATACTGGACTTACGTAGCACAATGGGGGGCGAAATGTATACTTATACTAATATAATAAAGCGTAAACACTTATGTAGGATGTGCGCAATCACAGCGTGTTTTTAAATTATTACTTTCATAAAAAGTCCTACTAGACTACATATTTTCACGACATATATGTATATACGAGCTTCCATCCGCGTGGAATTAAAAAAAACATACAGACGAATTGAGTACCTCCTTCTTTTGGGATGTCGGTCAAAAAGTGAGTAGCCTATGTGTTCTTCCAGACTATCCTCTACATCTATGCCAAACATCGAGATCTGTTCAGCCGTTTTGGCTGCAAACTCTAACAAACATCCATCCATCTAAATTTTTTTCGCATTTATAATATTAGTAAGATATATATTATATAAATTGGAAAAAAAGGTCACGTGGGAAAGGGACAAAAACAAAAAGAAGCAAAATTACTGGCAATTGTTAGTTTTTTTTGTCATTTGAGTATTTTCAATTAAAGGAGTATAAAAAAAGTTTATCAAAACTTTTTTATCTACAATAATGTCATGCTGATGAAGCCGCACGGAAACAGCTAGTAAATAAATTTGTTTTCACGTAAAATATACTTTAATTTCATTTAACGAACAAAACCCATTGTCCATATCAAATCCAGCGAAAATGCAATGACAGGAACAGGGTTAAAAGTCGAAATATACAATGGTTCAAAAATTTATATTCTATGATATATTTATAATCTATATTCCATGAGAAAAACAATAAAACGAACTCACAAAACAGTGAATATGTTAAAAATTAAAACGCAATAACGTACAAAATCATTTAATATAAATTACAATTCAGTATTCCTGTAACCCTTCAAATGCTCTTTATTCATTTTATAATATAAATCCCAGAATGCCATCCGTGCGTGTATGGGACGTTTCTTTAATGTCTGCTCGCTGTCTATTTCTAAATAATTCAATGCATCTTCTGTGACCGCAATCCATTTAACAGGAAGTAAATCTGACGTTTCTGGTGTGGGATCTCTGTAAGAAAATCAACAAAATATAAACCTAACGCTTCTAGCTGTACATCCTTTTAGGTTAGGTCTTCAATTACGCAAAGTAATGCAGTTATATTATTAGACTAACTTACGTCCCCGTGAAATTAAAAAAGTAGCCTATGTGTTCTTCCAGACTATACTCTACATATGTACTAAATTTCATCGAGATCCGTTCAATCGTTTAGGATACAAATTCCAACATCCATCTAAACTTTCACATTTATAATATTAGTATGATAGAGTGATTTAAGAGGGTGGTTTATATAATATACGACTTCTCCCGAGGAATTAAAATAAGCTTTTTAATGGTGAAAGAATTTTTAAAATCGGTCAAGTAGTTTTTGAGTTATTCCAACACAAAAATACAAATCTTTCCTCTATAATAGACAAATACCGTTCGTTTAGAAATAACTACAGTTTCTATTTGACCGACTTCCCAAAAGAAGGAGGTACTTAATTCGTCTGTATGTTTTTTTTATGTGTTACGGCATAACTCCGCCGCTAGTGGACCGATTTTGACAATTCTTTTTTTATCCGAAAGGTAATACTTGCAGGTGGGTCCCATTTTTTTGTTTGATTTTTGGAGTCTAAGACTACGACGTAGTTTAATAGTTTAGCTCAAAATCGCGCGACGAAATTTAGGGTCATTTTTGCTTTCTTTGCTTGCGTAGCCTAAACTATAAGACTTACATAAAAATGATGTATGTAAGAATTGTAGCCCATTATATTTGCTAAATAAAAGTCCGCGATAGCATATATCTATCTATTAAGGTTGTCGCACAATAACCACTTTTTTATTTAGATTGCGTTGAACGTTGATAAGAAGACCACCTATTGAATTTAGATATCGAATATCAATCGATATTTCAGATAAGATTAGAATTAAATGCGTAAATCATCAATATCTTAGATCACGTGAATTTCATTGATAAATATCTTTGGTACTGTATAACTATTGCGATTTAGACAGACGCACATAATCTACATAACAGATAATGGAATTTTGCGTTATTACTGCTTAAAAATTTGATTGTTTTTCTAGATACATACTAGACATTCAAGAAGAAAGTTTATAGGTTATAGTAGGGTTGTAACAGAGGTGAGGGAGAGGAATAGTGGTTACCCGATTCGCAGCCGGAGACATGGACGCAGAAGAGTCTATCAGGCTCTCTCGCGCCCCTCATGAGCGAGGCATGAACGGCGATAACATATATAATATGGATCTGGTGGAAGGTAATCTTGTACGTTGGCGGTCATGGGAATATAGGACGGAACTCGTACAGAGTTGATGCCGTCAGGATCACGATAGTGTGCGAGAGCGTTCCCGTGTTCTTAATGTTTGGCAGGAAGAGTTCGTGGGGTTTTAGTTGGCGCAGGCCCGACATAACCACCCTTGTGAAATCACAATCACAAATGTGACATGCGTAGGCATTTCCCCACGTTAAAAAAAGGGTTGTAACAGACCTCCGCTCCCGCAAGAAATACAAATTCCGCATCCGCTTCCATTATTTCTTATGCGAAGTTATAACGGATTTTAATTTACGTCTTAACTCGAGTATAGCGACTGGGTAATTGTTATACATGTAGGATAAGGAGGTTATAAGAGGTTAACGAGTTTATTTTTATTTGATCGAGCCACAACCCCACATACATTACATTTGAATAATATACGGTATTTTGTAATTATGTACCATCTGTATTATTAATAAATCGCAATTAATATTATTGACCTTCGCCTCCGCATCCGCATCTGCTTCCGTTAATGGCCTTCGTTACAACCCTAGTTTATACAATTATCTCTAGGTCACTATACGCCCTCACTGAGGGGGAGTCTACCCTAGTCTATGACTGGGTCATAGTCAACCACGCTGACCGAGTGCGCGACACATGTGCATCACGATGTTTTCCTCCAACTTAACATCGGGTAAATTACATACTAGCGACCCGCGATTCTGTCCGCGTGGAAATGAAATAAGTTATTAGCCTGTGTCCTCTTTCAGGCTTCCCTATACATGTAAAATAATCGAGATCCGTTCAGCAGTTTACGTCACAAACTAACAAACATCCATCTAAACTTTTACATTTATATTTGTAAGAAGAAAATCGAAAATCGCATTGGTACATCGTAATTACAACCCAAGATCTTTATAAGGCACAAGCTGTTGCTCGCGATTTCACCCGCGTAAAACTAAAAAAAAATAGAAGAAATACAACATATGTTACTCACAATTACCCTTTCTAACGGTGAAATATATAAAATCGACCCAGTAGTGTTTGAGTTACTTAAATACATACAAAAATACAAATCTTTCCTCTTTATATTAGTACTAGCTGTTGCTCGGGACTTTGCTCGCGTGAAACTTAAAAATATAGCCTATGTTACTCACAGGTAAATTGTCATCCTAATAGTGAAAGAATTTTCAAAATTGTCCCAGTAGTTTTTGAGTTATTTCAATACATACAAAAAATACAAATCTTTCCTCTTTATATTACTATAAATGTGCTAAACCTCTGAGAAACCGACACCAACTTACCCGTATTTAACAAAATTGGTCCACATCGTTGTCATTTTATCTATTATTGCCTGGTCTTCTACCGTTGGTGTCTCAGGAAGTACTGCCATATCGAATAAATATCCTTTCTCATCAGAATGTATGGCCCCCGGTCCTGTTATATTCTCTCTCAGTTTAGCGTAATTCCTACCACCTCCATATTTAAAAACGTAATAAAAAACTTTACCACCATTCTCTAGATATTTAGGTATACTTCTATGTATCGGATGTATGAATGTAAAATCAGAATCGAACTCCGCTAAATCATATTTCACGTCAATACTAACATCTTCATCACCTATGTAGAAATTTCTTGCTATTTTCACCAATTTCTCATCAACTGCATTAAAAGCTAAATTCAAATTATTCACAAAAACATCTTCATTATACTCTTCAGGTAGTTTATTTGCATATTCAAATAGTTTCTCCAAATTATTATAACCTATTAATATCGGTGTATCTTTTACTTTCGGTATAGGTGTATTAACAGGGTAATCTGTTATAAAACTTTCGATTCCTTCAAATTCTTTCTCAATACAAGGTCTGTAAGTTACTGATAAATCTAAACTAGCTGCAACAACTGTTTTAGGATCTAAATTAGATAGATATTCCACCGCTTGCTCACTATCATTTATTACCACGCCTAGTTTCTCAGCTATCCTTATAGGTAAGGTCCTATCAGAGTCAATAAAAGCCCAAGGCGCTAAGCTAGTCCCACTCTGTGTTATCGCTTTATCGAATATTTTCTCCTGTTTAGATAATAAATGATAATCAACAGACACACCACCAGCACTGGATCCAAATATCGTTATTTTATTAACATCACCACCGAAAGAATCGATATTTTCTTTAACCCATCGTAACGCACGCAATTGGTCCTTCAAGCCTTGATTACCTGGTACTTCAGGTGTATCTAAACACATAAAACCGTATAAACCCACTCTATAATTAATAGTTACTAGGATAATATCTTTTTTGACTAAATATTTAGGTCCGTATTGACGTCGTCCTCCACTTGTATGCTGGAATCTACCGCCGTGGATCCAAAATAAGACGGGTAACTTGTTTCTTGTGTTAGCTGAGTTAGGAACGTATATATTTAATTTTAAACAGTCTAAAGAACCAGTTACTTCTTTAGTTCTTTGTTGATTTTGTATGCATATCGATGTATCGTCGTTAGCTAGATATGTCTCTTTGAAATCAGGATATGGGACAGCAGCCTGGAATAGACAATTTAATTTTAAAATTCATTTTTGTACCAATAGTGTATGCAGCGTATGCGACGCATGTTATGCGACGAAATGGGGACATAAACCAGAAAATGTTAAGAATGAATGTGGCTACAAAGGAGGAGGAAGACCGAAGAAAGTATGGATGGATTGTGTGAAAGAGGATATGCTTAAAAAAGGAGTGGATTCAGATATGATGGCTGATAGAGATGTATGGAAGAGCAGCACATACTGTGCCGACCCTCCATAAGGGATAAGGGCAAGTGGAAGTGGGGCAAGGGAGGTAGTTTTTGTGTTATTTCAATACATACAAAAATACAAATCTTTCCTCTTTATAATGTCAGTATAGATTACGCTTGCTTATAAATAAAGCTACGAAAACAAATAGGGAAGTAACCTTGAAGAACTCCTCTCGTTTAGAAAAAAACATTATTTTGTTGTCTATGTTACTTTGAAAGACTATTTTTTATTTGATATTTGACAAAAACTTTTAACTCATTCTGTTAAATGCAAAAATTAGGGTTCCCTTTGTCATTGGATACTGTTCGGTAAAGATTACGAAAAAACAACTATTGATTATAACATTGATAGAAAAAACTTAATAACTAGCTTTCGCCCCCGACTCCGACCGCGTGCAATTAAAAAAAAATAAAAGTGAAAGGGTTCCTTGTTTAATTTATTTTATAGTAAACATAATCTATAAAAAAAAGTAGCCTATTTGTTCTTCCAGACCATCCTCTACATATGTACCAAATTTCTTTCAAGCTAGTTCAACCTTTTAGGCTACAAACTCTAACAAACATCCATCTAAACTTTCGCATTCATAACATACGAGCTTTTGCCCGCGACTTCGTCCGCGTGGTATTAGAAAACATACGGACTGTATATATAACAAAAAGCTACGTATCCCTCGGGAACCGGACATTTCTCGGGGATGAAGCTTATCTCATGTGTACTTCAGACTTTGTTTTATATGTGTGCCAAATTTCAATAAGATATGTTGAACCGTTGCAGAATGATCGAGTGGACATTAAAAAACTAAATTAATGAATCCCACGGGAACCGTAACTATTTCCGGGATAGAAGGTAGCCTATATGTTCTTCCAGACTATGCTCTAAACCTGTGCCAAATTTCATGGAGATCCGGTCAGCCGTTTAGACTACAAACGCTAACAAACATCCATCTAAACTTTCGCATTTATAATATTAGTAAGAAGTAAGATTTTAAAAAATTACTCACCCCGAAAGGGTTACTTTCATTGACTTTTGCGTATGGTATCCCCATAAACATAGCGTAGTCCCCATCTGTAGCCTGCACACCTCTGATCAGACCTTTCTTAGTGTCTACTAACGGATCCAATCTTGGTAGAGCCCAAGATCCATAAATAAATAATAAAAATATTAAAACATTCATTTTTACACGAGTAACTCTGACGAATGTCGGTAGATATCTGACTTTTATATCTCGAGTGTTTGAAAGACATCTAAAATAGATATGTAATTTTTTTGTAATTGATATAATCTTAATGTTATTTAGTGAAAGGGTTCCTTGTTTAATTTATTTTATAGTAAACATAATCTAAAAAAAAGTAGCCTATGTGTTCTTCCAGACTATCCTCTACATCTATACTAAATTTCATCGAGATCCATTCAGCCGTTTAGGCTACAAACTAACAAACATCCATCTAAACTTTCGCATTTATAACAAAATGTGTTCTTCCAGACTATCTACATATGTGACAGCGATATCTGTACAATCATTTAGGAAATAGATAAATATATATCCATCTAAGCTTTCTCATATTTATAAGATAGTAAGATTAGACCGTTTCTTTTTGAGTAGTGTATGTTTTGAAATGAAAGAAATCTAGCCTAGACTATTAGATTCGATTTCCTGTAAGGTTATTTAAATAAAAACGAGGTATGCCGATGTGTTGGAATGTTTTGAGACATAGAAAAAGGTAAACAAGGGTTTTTCCATTTCTTACTAATATTATAAATGCGAAAGTTTAGATGTTTGTTAGAGTTTATAGCCTAAACTGCTGAACGGATTACGTTGCAATTTGGCATATATGTAGAGTATAGTCTGGAAGAATACATAGGCTATTTAATTTTTATTATACCACGCGGACAAAGTCGCGGGCGAAAGCTAGTTTAAAATAACCAGAAATATTTAAAATTGAAAAAGATTGATTGCCATTTTCATTGATAAAACCCAGATTATTCTAATCTTATTATATTATATTGATGAGTGGAATTATAAAATTATTTGATTTAATGATAGAATATTTATGATAAAATCAAAATAATCAATCATTTTGGTATTATAATTAGATATACGAAAAGTAATACGATACTTCATAGCGCTACAGTTAATTGACCGGGAGATATTTGAACAGCTCACTAGCGCCACGCTGTCAATGTCAAGATGTACTATTTAGTACCTCAGTGTTGACATTTACAATTGATAACATTTGTAAAATCTCGCGAACTTATTATGTATGTGTGTCTAATAATTTAGATTAGTTTGACAATTCATTTCAAATTTAGTAGGGATGGTTGTGTAAAATCAGTCATGAATCTTATCGATTTTCGATTTTTATTCTTATTGAAGTTGTAATCGATAGATTTATAATTATAACTTATGAATTAAAAAAACAACACTGTTTTCTCAAATTAATAATGACCTTAACAAATAATGAGAGTAAATAATTGTTTATTACTACTACAGCCGTACGTAATCGAATTGGATTTCGCTATTATTTCTGTCATCGCTAAATTATCTACACTATCATCAATACTTGAATTGTCCTATAAATTAGTTAATAAGAAAATAATAATTTTAGTCGAGTTCGATAAATATTTAAACCGAATATCGATAGTTCCAAATTGTTCGCTGCGTGTTTGTTTCGTCACTACGATACCTGTCTACTAAGTATGGCATTTGCTTCATACAAATGTATTATCAAACTCAACTAAAATTATTATTTTCTTATTAACTAATTTATAGAACAATCTAGTATTCATTAATTCTAGAGATTTTAGTGATGACAGAAATAATAGCGAAATCCAATTCGATTACGTACGGCTGTAGTAGTAATAAACAATTATCTACTCTCATTATTTGTTATGGTCATTATTAATTTGAGAAAACAGTGTTTTTTTTTTAAATACATAAGTTTAACTATAAATCTATCGATTCCATCTTTTATAAGAATAAAAATCGAAAATCGATAAGATTCATGACTGATTTTACACAGCTCATCCCTATTAATATTGAAATGAATTGTCAAACTAACCTAAATTATTTAGACACACTATAGCACTCAGGAACTAATTTAGTCAAATTTACAGTGATTTACTAGTAAATATACTTTATTTATTGCTACCATTTGTTTTCATCGATGGGACATGCAGTGGCGGAGCAGCGCTTTGATTCCTACGAGGAAGTCGAAAATTGAGTGGTTGGTTTGCTTTAAAAGACGAACAATTTTGTGTGCATGGTATCCACACTTTGATTAAAATGTTTTTACTTACTCATTATTAGTGTTTTATTTTCACAAATAATTGATTTTAACAGGGGTGGTGCCCGCTTTAACATCTTAGCACTGTAAGGCTCGCCCCCAATACCACGACCACACAGGCAGGCGTCAAATGGAAGCAATTCCGTGTTTCGTCTGATAAGTGTGCTGGCGGATGCCTAATTTAAGTCCTTTTCTATTTATCACCCTTTTCTTGTAAGGAGAGGATGGGAAGGGGAAGTGGATTTGACGGTAGAGGAGATGCATAGGAAGGGACAATATCCTCTTTATGTGTGTCTCCTCCTCCGTCGTACAAGGGTAGGGAAAGCATCTGCGATCGCGGATGTCTATGCGCAGTCGCTTCGCCATTTAGGCGGATTCCGCCGCTTGCTCATTTGCCACCTTATGTTATAAAAAAAAACAAATAAAATCATAAAGAGGAAAAATTTGTATTTTTGAAATAACTCAAAAACTACTGGACTGATTTCAAAAATTCTTTCACTGTTAGAAAGGTAATTTAACTGTGAGTAGCATAGGCTATACTTTTTATTATTTTTTTTTAATTTAACATGACCGACAGCTAGTAAGTAGTAGGTTTTGCAAAATTAATATTTACTCGACTCGTTTTTCAGCAATTTCGGTCGCTGTTTCTCGCAGGATAATATAAAATGGATTGACTCGAACTAAATTATTTACTAATCTGATTTGTTGTTAAATGTTTAGTAACAAAATTACTCGATACTCGACTAATTTACTAGCTTAGGCGTATTACATAATAGTCAAACTTCCTTTTATCTATACTATTATAATAAAGCGTAAACACACACTTCTTTGTTGCCTAACATGTCAGCAATTATAGCATATTTTTGAATAATTCTTTCTTTAATAAAAAGCCCTACACTAACGTCACGTTTTAGGCTATATATTTTCACGCCATTAAATTTAGGGTGTAAACATTTTGGATAAAAACCCTAATGTGGGAAAGAGGCCATAAGTTGAAAAGATTTCATAATTTCATGCGGATGAAGCCGCACGGGAACAGCTAGTTTATCTTATATAGGAAACGAAATCAAACACCAAAAAAGGTTATATGATTTTTATTTGAATTTACGAAACTATTCTATTACAATCTGTAGAAAACTGGAAAATTCCTTCGGATACAAAAACATTATTGCTACGGCGGGAAAATGTTACAAACGACATAACCTAAAACAATACAAATGTCAAAAAGGCAAAGGTATTTAATCCATTCAGCCACAAAACTTTTTTAGACAAATCGTTAGGATTTTTTAATATAAAAAAATCTCCTGTTTTATTATATTGTTTGTAACATTATCACTTAAACAACCATACGAAAGTTACTCTTACTTAAGTACTAAGTTCTAATGCGCTTTATGTATAAGGGTCGGTTCACACAAACCAGCAGTTTATATCCATATTTTACGAAAAATCTATTTGTAATAATCTCAAAAACTACTGGAGTTATTTTGATAATTTTTTCACCATTAGAAAGGTTCATTATCAATTATTGATATAGGATATATTTATTATACCAAAAGTAAAAAAAAAACAATAGTGTTTTTTTTTTAAATAATATATGCAAAAAATCCTTTAATTCTACATTTTAGTCGCAAACAAAATTAATTTGTACGTCTTTTTAACAAAGGGAAAACGTAAAAAAAATCATAAAATTAGATATATTAGTTTGCGATAAAAATCTGCTCTGCCCCAGTTTGTATGAAAGGACCCTAAATAGTCAAATGAACAAATACATAAATTAAAAAAATAAATTATTTCGCCCAAAAATCGTTATTTCTTTAATCGATTGTATTTAATATTTGAATTTTTTCCATTCGAAATTAATTTATCGACTTAAAAAAATTAAACAAAAAAATGGGACCCACCTGCAAGCATTACCTTTCGGATAAAAAAAAAATATCAAAATCCACTAGCGGCGGAGTTATGTAACACACATAAAAAAACATACAGACGAATTGAGTACCTCCTTTTGGAAAGTCGGTCAAAAAATCGACTTTTTAAACCGAATTTATAAATTTCACACGAATACATTAAAAAATGTAATTAAAACTGTAAAATGGTGATGGCCTTTGAAATAAAATTAATAAGAACTTCAAAAGACTTATCTATATTTCAATTTCTTTTATATTTTACTAAATACTTCAAAAAATCCTTTAAAATGTCCTAAAAAAATCTTAAACCATAGAAAAAATAAAAAAAATTCTCTCATTTCGCGCAGATACAAATATTCAACTAAAAACTAAGCTTTATTGCTAATTTGCATCTAAAATTACCTTTATTATATTTTCTTGTATTTAATTTCAAAACCAAAAAAAATCATAATTACGAAAAATTATATTAAAACCGGAAATTTAGTAATCGATTAAAATTCAAATTGACGCAATAAAAAAAAATTAAGACATGAAATAAAATACAAGAAAATCTAAACGACTGCTCCTACGTAAACTATCATATGTTTGAAAACACAATTTTTGCAAAACCAACCTAAAAAAATTCATACTAAAAATTACAAAACCATAAACATACTGATACATAAAAAAATCTAATATTTTTGTTCGTTCTAACATTAATTTATAATTTACATAAAAATAAAACTTGCCAAGTTAATTAAAAAAAAAAACATAAAAAGACGTAAATCGGATTTTTCTGACTTACCATAGTTTACATAGGAGCCAATATCCTATAATACTCATAATTTAAACTAATTTCTAGCCAAATGTAAGCGAAATATTTATAATGTCTTGTACATTCGATACAGTACACATAGTTGTTAATTGAACCCTAAGGGAGACCCTCAGTGCAGTTATCTCGAAGTGTGACAATATTAAATGCTTACTAAAGTTAAATTATTATTAGTATAAGAGAAATTTACTAAAGGTCTTACTTAACAGCCAATTAACAACTCTGAGTATTAAGTTTTCACATAGTATGTATTAAGTGAGGAATAATCAACATTAGTAGGAATAAAATACATTTTTTATTATTTTTTTTTATACAAAACATTATAAACATTTCCTACAAAACTACAAAATACTAATAATAAGTCGAATACAAAACTCTAAATAGTAATAAATCGTTAAATACATTAAAATACATAATAATTTGGCTGCCATTATAATTGCCCCAGTTTGAGACATACTTCCCCAGCCTGGAAAATCTTCTCCAAGCCTTGGACAATCTTCCCCAGTCTGGGATACACTTCCCCAGTCTGAGATAAACTTCGCAAATCTGGGATACACTTCCCCAGTCTGGGATACACTGCCCCAGTCTGATTGAACCAATTCAAATTACGAAGCGAAGCCCATAGACATCTGCATGCAGATGCGTTGCCTACTTTTAAACAAACGCAAATTCCCCTTCCTATACGTCCCATCCCCTGACAAATCACTTCCCCTTCCCATCCTTTAATTGTAAGAAAAGAATATAAAAGGAAAAAGGACCTAAATTAGGCCAATTGTTATTTTTGTTGTAATTTCATTAAATTCTCGGAATAAAAATCTATGGAAATTCCTTAACTTCCAAAAAAAAAACAATAAAACTCGGGTAAAAAACCCGAATTATTTACTATTTCGTTACAAATGCTAATTAAATACATAAATTAGGCAAAAAATCACGTTACAATATCGACACATTAAAATTGGTAGAGTCGTCATACCAAGATTTTTTATTTTTTTTTAGTTTGTTTTTTTTTTTACAAAAATTGCAAGATAAATTGTTTTGATATTGTAAAATGTTTCGATGCTTTTTCTGAATTCTAGTATAAATTTCAATTTATCTTTTAATTGATATCTCCTGTGTATATGTGTCAATACTCCATTAAACCGTTCCATTCATTTGTTGACACATATCTGTTTTTCATCTGAAATTAAATAAATATAATTAAATTTCGATATCAAGTATCAAGAAGTGTTGTCAAATCGAGTGACGATCGGCTCAATTAGAAATACCCCTTCACAGTCGAGTCCTTTAAAAGTCGAGTTTATCGTCATACGAGTCGCGTTGTATCGAGTCGGGTCATCATATGAAGTCTATCGTCACATCGAGTCATGTCATAATATCGAGTAGCGTCATTATATCGAGTCATGCTATAATGTCGAGTGTATCGTCACATCGAGTCGTGTCATCGTATCGAGTCATGCTATAATGTCGAGTATATCGTCACATCGAGTCGTGCCATCATATCGAGTCGTGCTATTATGTCGAGTCTATCGTCAAATCGATTCGTGCTAAAATGTCGAAGGTACCGTCACATCGAGTCTATCGTCATATCGAGTCGCGTTATAATGTTGTGTGTTATCATATCGAGTTTAATGTCGAGTACTGTCTCACCTACACGTTCTCGGCAGGGCTCTGGAACTCAGCGAGAGCTCGCACTGGACTGGGCTGCTTCTTCTGGCTGCCGCGACGCACTTTGGCGCGCACCTCCTCCGGCCTCTCCGGACGGATTAGAGGCTTTTTCTCCGGCGCTTTCATACGCCATACTACTATCGGGGACTGGGGGGAGGGGGGATATTATGACATCTATTAGTAACTGCCCCCCTTAGACAAAGTATCATTCGATTATTTCTATCGCTGAACGAAAAGCCAAAAATGCATAGAAATTACGATAAAATTAGATAAGTCACGAGCTTTTCACGTATTTATTTCTGTACTTTTAGACAGATTTTGTCGATTGTACAAGCGGTTTCGGTAATCGAATTGCACTTTGTCTAAAGGGGGCTGTTTTAATATCAAATAGAACTGAAACTATTTTTTAAACAGACTTAGGAAAACAAGGTTCATGATTTATTTAGATTAATTTGTATTATTGTTAATTCAGAATTAAATTTGCATGCATTAATAATAGCGCCATCTATTATATGAAATAAGAAAAAAGGGACTAATATTCAGATTGGTGACGGCGCCATCTATCGTTAAAACTGGAGAAATTAGACTTCAAGTCAAAACTTTACGTGCCATCTATTTATGTAAGTTGGAAATAAAGTGACTAATATCTAGATTGGTAAGAGCGCCATCTATTGTTAGAAATAGGAGAAATTAATATTCAAATACGTACACTGGTTATAGTACAATCTACCAATATTCTGATTAATTACTTGAATTAGCAAGAAATTAAGATCTACGAGAAGCTATATATTATTAATTTTAAAATCTAAATCTATTTCTAATACGAATATCATAAATTTATTTTATTGGTTGAAATAAGCTAAAATACCATTTAAATGTAAAACACGCGAAACTAAAAAAAAACATGTGAAATCACAGCTAAAAAAAGCCAGCTAAACTACAAGTAAAAAATCATCTAAAAACTTATTAAAAACACATATAAAAGCATTGCTAATTGCAAAAATGGTAAATTTGTGTAAGTTAGCGTCAAAATGATCAAGTTAATACTAAGTAGACTAAGTTAGATCTAAGTTATAACTTACGTAGTTGCCCTGCCAGCCCGTAGCGAAGCGTTAACCAATCGAAACATATCAGCTATACTACTAGCTTACTTCACTTAGCGGTAGCTTAACTTAACTTAGGCATAGCTTACTATATAACTTACTAATGTATATTTCAATAGAAATGAGAAATTATAATATACTAGCTATATCCCACAAATTCGTCTATGCGATGTTAAAAAAAAAACTTCGAGATCCGTTCAATACTTCAGGATCCAAACTCTGACATCCATCCATCCATCTAAATTTTACAATATTAGTAAGAAATGTCAATTTTAAAATTCAATTTTTTTTAAATGTCATAATTTTTTAATTTCTATTGATTTCTTTATATTCCTATTATTTTTCCATCTGAGTTTAATGACATTTTACATTGGTTTGATTACTTCAAATTTAATTAAAGCGATCCTATACTAATATTAAAATACTTTATTAAATAATCTCCAATATTTATTGGTTTTTATCCATTTGTACAAATCTCAACATACAACAATACACTACAAACTTCAACCAACACAACACACTTCAACATTACATCTTGTACTACAAACTTCAACTCAACACACTTCAACAATCTTGCACTAAAAACTTGAACCAGGCCCAAACTTCAAGATTACATCTTTTACTTAAATTTCAACCAACACATCACACTTCAACATTACATCTTGTACTACAAACTTCAACTCAACACACACAATCTTGTACTAAAAACTTGAACCAGGACCAAACTTGAAGATTACATCTTATACTTAAATTCCAACCAACACATCACACTTCAACATTACATCTTGTACTACAAACTTTAACTCAACACACTTCAACAATCTTGCACTAAAAACTTGAACCAGGCCCAAACTTCAAGATTACATCTTTTACTTAAATTTCAACCAACACATCACACTTCAACATTACATCTTGTACTACAAATTTCAACTTAACACATATCAAACAATCTTATACGAAAAACTTGAACCAACACATCACACTTCAACATTACATCTGGCACTACAAATTTCAACTTAACACACTTCAACAATCTTATACTAAAAACTTTAACCAACAACACAAACTTCAACCAACAACACGAACTTCAACCAACAACACAAACTTCAACCAACAACACGAACTTCAACCAACAACACAAACTTCAACCAATATACTCACAGCGATGGTTCCCTGCCTCGTGTACTTCGTGGAGGCGACGTAAGACGCCTTCACAGTTAACACAACCGCGTTCATCAAGTTCTTAGCAGCTTGGATCAACGAAGTAGCGCTGTCCAACTGGAATTGACAAATATACCATTAACCGTAGGTTTACACTGTCGAAACATACATATAAATTGTAACATTTTTGGTATATTAACAAACTAGCTGTTCCGTGCGGCTTCATCCGCATTTAAATACACAATTGACAATAAAGACCTTTGATATTGGATACCAATTATCGTATCATGGCAATCTTGTATCCTTGATGTTGGCCTCTATAATTTATGGTCCTTTTCCTAAATGAAGGTTATTATCCAATTTATTTACCCCCTAAGTTTAACACCATGAAAATATATAGCCTAAAGCGTGACGTAAGTGTAGGGCTTTTTATTAAAAAAATAATTATTCAAAAATATACTGTGAATGACATTCTACGCCACAAAGTAGTGTGTTTACGCTACTTAGAGTATGAAATAGTTGAATTCGCCGAAATAGCGAAACCATAACTTGTACATACCCCACTGACGATGAGTTCTCCTGATATATTCTGCACATCCGCCTTCACCTTGCTTGTTATCTGTATTTGGTGACAGTAGAGAGCTATACGTTGCAGATACGCTAACAAATCTTGTTTAGTCGAAGATTCCGGACACTATAATGTAAAAAAAAACAAATTTAACTAAAAATACGTAGGGATAAGAATACTCGAATACCACCTCATTTATCAAAATCGATTCAATATTTGTGTTACTAGCTGTTGCTCGTGACTTCGCCCGCGAGAAATTTAAAAATATAGCCTACGAGCTGTTGCCCGCGACTTCGTACGCGTGCTATTAGAAGACATACAAACTATAAAAAATGACAAAAAGCGACGTATCCCGGGAACCGAACATTTCTCGGGGATGAAGCTTATCCCATGTGTACTCCAGACTTTGTTTTATATCTGTGCCAAATTTCAATA